GCAGCACAGCTACTCTGGAAAAGAAACAGGAAGTAAGTGTGTCTGACGACATGCAGAGGCCGGAAGCCTGTGCGCTGCCGCAGAGAAGACATACACAGCCGCTGTGGGAAACAGCCTGGCTCCTCTTCAAAAACAGAAACAATTGGCCGGACGTTAAAAGTTCTGGACATTGAATGTACTTAATGTCACTGAACTGTAGACTTAAAACTGGTGAACGCAGTGAATTTTATGTTACGTGTACTATACCACAATAAAATACTTGGGAAAAAAGTGAAGAGAGGGAGAACGATATGCTATGCTAATGCCAATCAAAGGAGAGCTGGAGTAGCTACGTCGCCCTCGGACGAGTGGACTGCAGGAGAAGGAATGCGCAGGGCCACGGGCGGGCACCGCAGACGGGACGGGGCCATTCCTCCAAGAAAACGGCACAATTCTTCATGTGCATGCACCAAACAGCAGAGTGTTAGGTTACATCAAGCAAAGCCGGGTGGAACGGTGAGGAGCAACAGGTAAGTGCGTGGCGGCAGCTGCACCTTCAGCTGTTTCCTGTCACTGATTTGTAGGCCAGCAGATAAGTTGGTAAGAAAACTGTAGAACTAAGCCACACTGGGGACCATGGCTTTGTGAGGGTCACTTCACCCAACAGCAGCAGAACACACATTCCCCTCGTGCCGCGTGAGCACCTGCTGAAACACCACATTCTGGCCACAAAACACATCTCAACAAGGTCGAAAGAATAAAAACCATACAAATGCCTTGTCGTACCACAGGGGAATTCAACAAGAAAAATGTCCCATGAACATAGCTGGAAAATTCCAAAGTAGATTAGAGAACAGACTTCTACACACCACATGGGTCAAAGAAGACTCGAGAGAAATCTATACACACTTTGAACTAAATGAAAATGAAAATAAAACTTACCAAAATTTGTGGGATGCAACCAAAGCCATGCTGGGGCGGGGGAGCTGGTTATCGCATTACAGGTGTGTATCACAAGACAAAGTATCCAAAACCCATAATGTGATCTTAGGAAACTAGAAACACAAGCTCAATGTAAGCCTAAAGCAGGCGAAAGAAAATAAATAATAAATACTAACAATTCTATGTCCCCAAATTTCATAACTGAAGATAAAATCGCTTAGGTAAAATGAGTTTTTCAATTTGAACAACCCACACAAGAAGAAACACGATAATCGGAACAGAACTACTACCATTGAAGACAATTAATAACCTTCCAAAAAGAACGAATCAGTCCCTATGAATTCTCTGGTGAATTCTACCCAACGTTCAGGGAAGAACTTTTGCCAAGCGACTACCACCTCTTGCGGAACACCGAGGCCAGGGAACACTCCCCGCGCTGACGTTCGAGGCCAGCACGACCCCAACGCCAAAACCAGATAAGGATGGTCCAAGAAACAAAAACTACGGACCCAAATCTCTCCTGCACCCAGATGCAAACATTCTCAAAACAGTAACAAAACCAATTTAACAAGAGAGAAATACTATACTGCAGAGATGATCACTGTTCACATGCGCGTTCTTCCCAACTAGAGCTACAGATTTAATGCAGCCTCAATAGAACTAAGAGCAAACTATTCTGTGAAGACGGGAAAACCGATCCTAAAATGTGCACGAAAAGGAAAAGAGCACAGACTCGCAAGCACGGAACTGCAGGAGAAAAAAAGCGGGAGGACTGATGTCCCCAATTTCAACACCAGTGACCTCGAAAGATGGGGCTGGGAAGCAGCTCCATGGACCGCGGTGCACGGGACCCGCCCACAAACAGGCTCACGCACGCTGGTGGGACGCAGGCGCAAGAGTGATGCGAGTACGTTGTGACGTGAGAACCAGAAGGACGCCGACGCGGCGTGAGGCAGGCGCCAGGGTGACACGAGCTCAAGGGGACGCAGGCGCAGCGTGACGCGGCCCGACGTAGCGCCGACGTAGAGGCGCTGAGTGGGGGAAGGGCCGCCTTCTCCCTTGCGCGTGCGCGCTGGCTTCACCTCCGCGTGCGCAAGCGCGAGTCAGGTGCCGGGCCACCCTGAGCGCAGGCCCCGCGCTGCCGGCTGCAGGAGGACATGGGAGGCGACGGACGGCAGCCTCGGGGTTGCCGATGGGCGTCAGGGAGCAACGCCCAACCGCCAGCCCAGGAGGGGAGACCCAGGGCTCGGGCTCCCTGGGAGTTTAAAACATCTGGTCTTCTAAATACACGGTTCCGAGGATGAAAACACAAGCGACAGCCTCGCGCAAAGTGTTCTCAACACACGCATGTGAGGAAGGACACACATCCAACATTTACTCCAAAGTCTTAGAAGTGAACGAGAAAGTGGAAATGCTGTTTTAAGAACGGGCAACGGATGCCTCCCGGGGAAGAGTGACACCCACGAAGGGCGGGTGTGTCCGAGAAGGGGTCTGGCGTCATCTGTCACGAGGGAGTCGGAGGCGGAAACGGCGAGGAGAAACCCCTTCGAGCGACCGAAACCCCAGCAGCGCGACGCCCTGAGCCGCGAGGAGGCTGAGCGAGCGGCCACCGAGCGACGGGCGCCTCTGGCCGCTTCTCGCTCAGGCCATCTCCCCACGGTGTCCAGCAGTCACGCTCCATGGTGTGCACTCGGCTGAATTAGAAACTCAGGTCCACACACAGTTAGTAACAGTTTTATGCTTAGTTGTCCCAAACCGCAAGCGACCCAGGGGTCCTTCAGTCGGTGACAGACACACACACTGTTGCGCTCAGACGGCGGCAAGTTCCTCAGCGCAAAACAGCACCGCGGCGTCAAGCCGTGAGAGGACGCGGAGGAGCCGCCGGTGCACGTGCCTGAGCGACGCAGGCCAGGCGAGGAGGCGCCGCACGCGATCCCAGCCAGCGGGGCGTCCGGGAAAAGGCAAAGCTGGAGACAGCGGACAGAGGTCGCCAGGGGGCGGCGTGGGGGCGAGAGGAACGGCTGGAGCCCCGAGAACTTCCGGGCCGCCGAGTTCTTTCCGGTACTATCGTCGTGAATGTCTGTCGCGACACACCTGTCCAGTCCTACAGAGATTATAGCACAGAGAACCAACCTGAATCTGTGCAGATTTAAAAAGTCATTTAGCGGCCTTGGGGGAGGGGTTCCAGCAAGGAGTACGGACTGTGCGCGGGCAGCTCGCTGTGCTGAAACGCGGGCTGCGCTCTGAAGCGGCCGGAGAAGTGCTGGCCTCGGGCACCGGGGTGCGTGGAGTCGGCGGGCAGCCGCTGGCCGCGTGGTGCGCGGGTGGCGCGGTGGACGCCGGCGCCTGGTCGTCAGAGCGGAGTTTGCACGCAGCAAGGGAAGGAGGGGACGGCCAGAACGCGCATCTCACTCCGTGTGGACGCAGGGGTTCCGCGCATGAACAGCACTCCTGTGTGCGCACGAGCTGCCCGCTCACACCTCTCCTTGCTGGGTGGGGAGACGGTGGAGATGCCACCGGGCCCCCAGGACAGTGGGCACAGCCCTCCACAGTGACAGTACCAGGGCCTCTTGAGAAATGGCTTGTTCCACGTGGGGCAGGAAGGCAGGAGTGAGCCTGGGGTGCCTGGTGGCCCCAGGGAGCAATGGTGTGCAGACAACACCAGCAACCATCAAACAAAAGCGCACCCCGCCCCCCCCAGCAGGAGTGCGGTCAACAGGGAGGGTCGAGGGCTCAGGAGCCGCTGTTGGAACAAGCTGAGCCACCAAGTCGGTGGCCTTGTGCTGTGTTATAACCTAAGCCGGGTCCAGACTAACATAAAGAAATAGTCACACCACTGAACGAATAGTTCAGAAGAGACGAATCTCCCGTGCAAAGCCCCACTCCCACACTGCGGGCCATGGCGACTTCCTGCCCAGCAGCGCAGTGCACCCACTGGCCAAAGGCAGCTCTGGCCATGTCGCTTGACCCCCTGGCCCTCAGGTTGGGCCCAGCCTGGCCCTGAGCCTGGCCTCATGCTCTGAGGCCTCTAATCTCAACCACCACACTGAACCCCTAACTGCCCACTGGCTTTTGGCTGCTCCGTGGCCCCAGGTCCTACCCATGGCCTTTCCTCTGCCTCGGACTTCCTCTCCCGTGGCCCTCACCAAGTGTCCTCCCCGCCGCTTCTGCGCGGGGCACTCGTGAGCACCAGGGCGCTGGCCTCCTCTCCACGTGGCTCTGAGCCTGGGCGGTGCCCCTGCAGGAAGGTTTCGTCACAGGTGCCCTCCACGGGGCAGCGGGTGGCGGGGAGACCCTGCGGACCGCCTGCCCAGGCTGCTCCTCCTGGAGTCCGTGGGTCCAGAGGGATCCCCCGAGCAGCCCTTCTCTGCAGGGGCTGCGACAAGCCCAGGCACCTTTCACCCCGTCAGACGGGGTTGCGCTGGGCGACCAGGACGCAGCATCCAGGCAGTGGGGCTGCGTGGGGTCACGTGCGGCCCCGCCGTGGCATGCACAGCTGCTTCAGCCCCGGGCCCATGCTGACTTTGTCCCCTCGGACGCTCACCGTGAACTCAGGGCTCCCGTGGGCGGGATTGGAGGCAGGAGGACAGGAAGGACCCGACCCTCACGCGCCCAGCGGCTCCGTACCCTTTTCCAGAGCCCAGGGACCCCGCCTGCTCCCTCCAGCCCCTACGCCCCTTGCTGAGGGGCAAGGAGATGCTGTCCTGTGTCCCCTGTGGCCAGGGCCAAACCTCCATGGATCTCAGCCTGCCGAGCAGCTGGACTCCGTCCTCTGTCCACGATCCCCCAGCCTCTTGCCGAGGGGTGTGGGGCGGCCTTCAGGCAGGGCAGCGCCCTCGGCATTAGCTGGTGCTCACACCTGCTGGGGCTGGGAGAGGCCCAGCCTGCGATGTCCCGGCAGGACACAGCATCGGCGGTCTGCACACAGCACCACGCCCACGACCCAACACGGCTGCCACCGGCCCCTCCTGCCCAGGTGAACACCGCCCCGCCCGGCACTGTCCAGAGGGAGCGGGAATGGATGCTCGTCCTCACTGTGGGGCCGGGAGGCAGGGCCCGCTGGGCGGTGGTGTGGGTACCTGGCCGCGGCGTGTCTCGCAGTTGTGCAGGTAGCTCAGATGGTAGATCTTTAGGTTCAATGTGGCAAAGTTCAGATACTTCGAGAAGACCTGGAACGGGAGTTGCAGCAGCGGGCGTTAAAGCCGGGTTTTCAGGGGCACCCCCAGCTGTGCGTCCGGGGGCCTCAGCACGGGCGGCGTGGATGGCTCTTGGTGCCCGCCTGCGTGATCACGCGCACAGGGGGACGGACGGCCGTCTGCGGCGGCACGCACCCGGCACCGGTGGAGGCCCTGACACTCACATCCTCGTCCTCGCTGGTGAAGCACGGGGCGCCCAGCTTGTTCAGGGCCATGATCACGGCCACCACGTCCTTGCCGTTCATGACGGGCGTGGCCAGGATGTTCCTCGTCACGTAGCCGGTCAGCTCGTCAGCGAAGGGGCTGAAGTGGGAGTCCTGGGAGGCGACCGAAGGAAGGACAGAGGCTGTCGTCTGGGGACCTGGGGTCGGGGCGACCTCCCCGGAGGACCCCAGCCGAGTGCGGACACCCCGTGGCCTTGTCCCCGGCATCAGGAGCCCGGGGGGCACAGGAGGACACGGCCACTGGCCTGTCCTTGCACACTGGCCTGCCTCAGCCCCTGTCACCCCACCTTGGAGCCAGTGACCCCACTCTGCACCCCAGACGCCACAGAGTCCATCGCGCCACCTGTCCTGTGCCTGCCCCGCCCCGGGCTGTGGGCAGGCCTGGGTGCCCCTCCCGAGCCCTCCCTGCTCGGAGCTCCTCCTGCCTTCAGCGTGGGCTCCTCTGGGAACTGGAACTGTGAGCTCAGTGCAGAGGGGGCGCGGGGGGCGCGTTCGCAGGACAGACCTGCCTCCGAGCAGGCCGGGGCAGCCTCGGGCCCACTGCACCCTGAGCCGCCTTCCCAGGACCACCTGCCCCCTGGGCCTCCCGTCCAGGGATTGGCACCCACCCCCGCCCCACCGAGGGGCCCCCAGGTGTCGCCTTGGCACCTCCCTCCCACCCCGACCCCAGAGGGCTCCAAGCCCTGTGATTTCTCGGATATGGCCCCAACTCTGTTCCCACTGTCCAGGCCCATGTCGGCGTCCCCGGGCCTCCGCCTGCTTCCTGGCCCTTCCGTGCCCCACACAGCTGGCCAGTCCTGTTGCCCGCCCCCCAACAGGGGGCTGAGCTGTCCCGACTCCTGGGAGCTTCCCTGCAAAGCTCTGTCCCTGATGCCAGCCCCGCGCCCTTCACCGCACACTGCCGGCCGCCACGGCTGGGCCTAGACCCCTTGGTTACACGCAGGACCCTCGTGGCAAGGCATTTCGCAGCCCACAGCCCCTTGCAGGGGTCAGGACCTGGGTCTAGTCCTGCCCAGGGGTTGGTGGCTGTAGCTGAGCCCTTCTGTGACCTTCCGCCAGCTGCTTTGCCATGACGCTCGGGGGGTCCGGGAGCGCCGAAGGGGTGCTGGCATGCGCCCCGTGGGTCCCCTGGCCCCTGCACTCCGGTGTCTCTGCCACGTGCACAGGCACACGCCTGGCTCCAGAAACAGCCCCCCACTGCTCCTGCCCTCCGAGCAGGGTCCCGGCACCGAGGGAGCAACCGGGCTCTGCCTCAGTCTCCCCTTTGTACAGCCGCCTGGAAACCTGACACCTGGCAATGCTGGGGGTTGTTGGCGCGCTGAATGGAGACCCGCTTTTCTGTGGGTCTTGACTGATGTCTCTTCCACAGCACCTGAGACAAAGCCCCGCATGGCCCTGGGCACGAGGCCAGCAGTGGGCCTGCCCCATGAGCCTTGGTCCGGCGATGCTGGGCAGCTGCGGAGACATCTCGGGGGGCAGGAAGACCCCGTGTTGGGGAGGGATGTGGCCTGGGGAGCCCCAGAGCTTGAACCAGACCCTCAGAGCAGCCACAGGGCACCCAGAGTCCAGGCTGAGAGGACGCCCCCTCAGGCTGAGGGGACAAGACCCACACAGGGGAGGGAGCCCCCACCCCCTACCCCCAGCTGCTGAATTGCTCTGTTTCTGGGAAATTCATGCTCTTGTTATTCCAATTCGTGGGTGACCTGCTTCTCAGAAAGGAAGCGGAGGTGGGGCTAATCCCCGGGATTACTCTATTCAGGTCGCGGATGGGGGCTGGTTCAGAGTCGATGCGTTTAAGAGGATTGCAGCTGGCTGCTTCCTCTCAAGGCGCCGGGGTCTGGGGGGCTGTTCACACTCCGATGTGTCTCCAGGGACAAGGGGACAGCAGCTGCGCGGGGCTCAGCCCCTGCGGACTCCTTCGCGGGCCCGGAAGAGGTTTGTCCAGGTCGCCGGCTCCCCAGCTCGCGTCTGGCCCCTCCCTGCTCCTCCTGGAAGCCCCATCCCAGGAGCCCCTGGGCCCTGCCTCCTGCACGTGACTCTCCTCCCCGGCTCCCCACACTCTCCACCCAGGGCCCAGCTGGGAGGCTGCCACACGCCCCTCCCGACCCACCAGCACGGGTCTTCCTGGACCGGGCAGCGCCCCTGCTGCTGCCCCCTGCTGCCCCCACCCCCACCTGCCTCCCTCTGCATCAGTTCTGACCCCTCCTCCCAAGCCCTGTCCCGGGAGCTGGGGCCAGGGCAGTGGGACCTGCCCGGCCTCCCTCCCAGGCGCCTGAGGGACCCCTTCCTGCCCAGGGGCTCTGGCCGGCTGCTCCCGCCCCCCACCCCTCACCTCCCCAAGTGCCCCCACAGGACCGCGGCTGACCTGTCCCACGGGGCCTGGGGGACCCTCACAGCCCTGCAAGGTGGGGCCCAGAACCCACCTCGGTCACGTCCTTGACGTTCACCATCCTCTTGGCCTGAGCCACGTGGCCCACGACCCCGACGTCCAGCGGAAAGACGATCTCGGAGTCGGGGGGCACCAGGCAGTCCTCCAGGGCGCTGCCTGGCTGCACGCTGAAGAGGCGCGTGGCGAGCTCGGCCACGCCGTTGCGCTGGCGGAACATGAAGAGGCTGCAGCGGTCGGCGCGCAGCAGGGAGCAGAGGCGCCGCAGGATCTTGAAGACCACGCGCTCCATGTTCACGCTCTCCTGCATGTCCTGCACCAGCGCGAACAGCGCCGCGCTCTCCTCCACCTGGCACAGCTCCCGGAAGCTGGCGCAGTCGGCCGCGAGCCCGTCTTCGCAGGCCCGGGCCATGTCCTCGGGGCTCAGCTCCTTCCCTTTAAAGTACTGGTCCGCAAAGCCCGGGTTCTGGTCCAGGTACTGCCTCACCTGCTCTTCGCTGAGGCTCATGGTGTCCGGCTGCCTGGCCTGGAAACGCCGCGGTCCCCAGGCGCGCACGGACTCCCCGCAAACACTGTCATCAGCAAAGCCTTGCTTAGCGATGATTAGAGTCCTGGGAGGACACCAGCTGACTCGCCCGCGCCCGCCCCCTCGCCTTGCGTCCTGGACTTCCTGCCTTCCCTGGAAAGAAGTGGGGCCTCGGGCAGCGTTCAGGGGCTCCAGCCTGGGGCAGGGGTCCTCAGCGGCTGGGGCAGGCACTTGCTTCCAGTGGAGGGAAGTGACCCTTTCCGTCTGGCCCTGCAGGCAGCCCCAGGTCGCCATGGCGCCCAGACCTGGGCTCAGGTGTGCTAGGCAGGTGGGGCATAGCCCTGCCTTGGGGAGATGCAGTCCCGCCCCAGGCAGGGAGAGGGGCCCCCTCGAGGGTGCAGCTGGGGCCCCATCCCTCCCCCAGAAGGAGCTGGGGACAAGGGAGGAAGGTGGGCCAGCGCCTGGCGTGGAGGCGGGGGACTCACACGCACTTCCCCTTCTCTTTGCCGGTGAAGAGGTGGCCTGGGCATTCAGCCTCGCAGGTGAGGAGTCTGTGCAGGAGGATCAGCTGCCCAGACGCACAACAGGGCTTCCCTGCTGAGCTGGCGCCCCCAGTCCGGTCGTCTGGATGAACCCCACTGTGGCCCCTCCTCTGCCCAGTTCCTACTCACCAGGAGCCTTTTTATGTGCCCAACCACAGCGCCGCGTTTTGCAGACAAGGTTGTTCCTGAGCATCTGTGCCTCGGACAGGACCGCGTACCTCCACAGCAGCAGGCCCCCCCCGCAGAGGCTTTCGCCCTGCCTCTGGGCGCCATCAGGTGCCAGCTGCTCTGTGAGCCGCGGGCTGGAAAAGAGGCTGAGTTGCAAGGGGAGGGCTCACCGGGTGTCTGTCTGATTCCTCTGCTGCAGGAGCGCCCTTCACCTCACAGAAAAGCGGCTGCGCAGGTGTGGGTGTGCATGTGTGTGCAGGTGTGCGCAGGCACCTGTGTGTGCCGGGTGTGCGTGTGCACGTGTGCCTGTGGGCTGCTTGCGGGGGGCGGGGGGCGGGGGGGAGGGGGGGCTCTGTCCATGGTGGGACCAGCGTGCACACTGCTCAGCAGAGCCCGGTGGCGCCTGGCCTTCGGGACTTGCCTCCTGAAGCAGCAACCGTGACATGTGCCGACACACCTGGTCACAGGGGCCCGTAGAGCCCTTCGTGCAGAAGGTTCTGGCCCCTCATAGCTGCGGACCTTGACGGAGGAAAGTGACCGCGGCTGGCCGTCTCTTCCTCATGTGCCTGGGTCCGTGTTGCCACCGTGCATTGCACCGGGATGCAGGGTCTCTGTGTGACCTGGCTTCTGCTGCTCTGGGCGGTGACACCGGGTGCCTGCCCCTGCGAGTGTGCGCACAGCATGCACATGGGGCCAGGGCGCCTCTCGGGCCTGGCCCCGGGGACCCTCGGGGGGCTCTGGGCCCTGCCGCCCTGACAGCCACCACGGGCTCCGCTGGCCAGGCGCAGGCGCAGGTGCTGTGCCGCTCCTGCCTCCGCTGAGGCGTGCACCGGTTCCTTTCAGGGATCTGCTCCAAGGCCCCCACTTCTCCTAAAAATAGCAGCTCTGGCTGGGGGTGGGGGCGGCCCCGCGTGGCGCGTGGACCGGGGCCCGAGTTACAGTCACCTCGCTCTGCGTTCGGTTTCCAGGGCGCTGTCCTGGGCTCCCCGCGTCCGGGCCTGGGTCCGCGGGGCACACGGTGATGCCCCACCTGCCTGAGCGGTCGGGAAACTGGGTCTTGGGGGCACCGCCCCCCCTCTGCTCACCCCGCCGAGGCCTCTCCGTCCTCTCTGCGCCCTCCCCTGCAGGTGGCCGAGGGAGCCAGGCCTGGGCATGACGCTCACGGGGTCACGGCGGGGCCCCCGTGTGGGGAAATCCAGAGGGTCTAGAAGAGCCCTAATGATTCTGAAACAAAAGAGTTGGAGGACTTGCAGCCGATTTTAAGACTCCCTGCACAGCAGCCCTGAGGACAGCGGGGTGCCCAAGGGGCGGGTGGGGGAGGGCGGGAGAGACCCGCACCTCATTGGGCACCTGGTCTTCAGTAAAAGAGCCAGGTGGCTTAATGGCAGAGGAGGCTGTTTTCAGCGAAGTGCTGGGACAACTGGACATCGTCCATACAAACGAAAACCTTGGCCTTTGCTTCACACCACGCACAGAACTAATTCAAAGTGGATCACAGATACATGTGCAAGAACTGAAACTACAAAATTCTAAGAGAATAGAAGGCGATATTTGTAACCTTGGTTTAGGCAAGCATTTCCCAGATACAAAAGCCATAAAATAAAAAAATAAGTTGGACTACATCAAGATTGAAAAGTTTTGCTTTTTTAAAGAGATTTTATTTATTTTTTAGAGAGAAGGGAAGGGAGGAAGAAACAGAGGGAAACATCCATGTGTGGTTGCCTCTCGCATGCCCCCTACCAGGGACCTGGCCCGCAACCCAGGCCTGGGCCCTGACTGGGAAGCAAACTGGCGACCTTTTGGTTCGCAGGCTGGTGCTCAACTCGCTGAGCCTCACCAGCCAGGGCTGAAATGTTTTGCTTTTTAAAAGATGCTGATAAGATAAAAAGGCAAATCAAAGACTGAGAGAAAATATTTTCAAAACATTTGTCTGATGAGCAATTTGTACCTAGACCATATACATAATTCTTACAACTCAATTACATGAAAACAACCGAATTTTTAAAAATCAGCAAAAGATTTGGGAAGACGGTTTACTAAAAATATATATGAAAGGCCAATAACTTGTTACCTTCTTAGGAACTCTTGTAAACAAGTACTTCTCCAAGGAAGACACGGGAAAGCATCCGCACCAGGAGCCGCCAGGGTCACGCACGGGGAGAGCACGGCGAGGTCAGCGTGCACACAGGGCGGCCGACGAGGCGAGCAGAGGGCTGGGGGCGCCGGGGGGGGGGGCAGGGGCAGCGCTCCAACCGGCTGCAGGCACAGCCCCTCGGAAAGTCGATCGGGGTCTTACAGAGCTCGGCATGGACTTTGATACAACCAAGCGATCCCACTTGTAAGTACATAAATTAAAACTGATGTTCACAGAAGCTTTGTACCCGAATGTCCACGGCAACTGTATTCATGACTCCCAGTGGGGGAAATCTGTGACGCCCATGTGTTTGCGAATGGACCGGCGCACGTCGGTGGAATTATCTCTGGCAGTAAAAACCAATGAATGAAAGCAAAGCTCTATGTGAAGTAAAAGAAGCCAGACGTAAAGGCTGCAAACTTAATGATTCTAGGTGTACAAAATTTCATACTAAAACCATGGCAGCAGAAAGCAGATGGGGCAGAGGACTGAGAGGGACAGTTTGGGGCGCCCTGTACCATGACTGTGGGGGAGTCTTACGCCAACACGATCAGCTGTCCAACATCATTGAAAGGTACACTTAAAACCAGGGACTGTTATTTCATTGAGGTACCTTATACCTCAATAAAAAAGGGCACTAACCGCTGAACGTACATATTACTCATGATCCCACAAATGGCACGCCCAGGGGCGTCGGCGCACACGCTTGAGAAAGATCAGGACAGCTTTACTCATAGCGTCCCCAAACCAGCAACAGCCCAATGCTCGGCACCAGCGAAGTGGTCAGTGGTGGCGGCGAAGGCCAGCGGCCTGCCGACGGTCCAGCCACAGGGAGGCGCTCCACCGGTGTCAGGGTGAGAGGGGAAGCCCAGCGCCCGCCGGCCCGCTCGCAGTCCATGCCGCGGAGGTTCTGAACAGGCCACCAACTGAACTGTGTAAACAGGTGGGGAAGTGGTTTTGAACGAGGCCAGCAAACCTGTGTCGGGCAGGAGGGGGCGCTGCGGACTCTCGTGCAGGGTCCTGTTTCTTGCTTCAGTGTCAACCTCTGTAGAGGCCCGTCTACAGGCATTTTGTGGACTTTTCCGTGGTTCTGTTATATCTCACAAGACAAAAGCTTTTGAAGTAACAACTGAAGGGCATTCCGGAGCCCTCGAGAACCCACGGGCTCTGGGCTGCGAGAGCGAGGCCTTCAGGTCGACCATCAGCTCCGCAGAGGCGGCGCCAGGACAACCATCCATGACCGTTGAGGCCGGCTGTCCCTGGAAGAAGGGGGCTGAGAGCTGAGAGCAAGAGAAAATTTAGAGTATATAGCCAGTTAATAAGATACAGGTTAAAATCAGTGAAAGAAAATAATATATTTTAAAAATAATTAGAGTCAGCCAAATTAATTGAAGTCAGTCCACACTCTGGGGGACTGGGTTTTAAACACTAACAGATAAGTGTTAAAATGGGACTTAAAGCTGAAAGGGAAAATATTCCCTTCTTGACACATGATTATTGTTGTGATCAGGAAAGAACACACACGATGGCTTCCTTGTGTATCTATCGAGTGTACGGGGGGACCTCGGTAATTAGATGATCGCGGTTCCAGAGGTACGATTCTGAGACGTCACCTGCCGCTGTGTTGTGTCACCACCCCCATTTATTCAGGGAATGGGGGTAAACACAGGGTTAGAAACTGCACCTCTGGGCTCGGGGTCCTGTCCACAGAAGGGCGGTGACGTGTCCCGCCTGGCGCTGCTGCTCGGGGGCCTGGGAACGTGCCTGGCCCGCGGTGGGCTCTGCGATTTCTAAAGCAGTTGCTCTTTCCCCAGGAAGCTGCAGAAGGTCATCGTTCACTAGGATGGCGCTGCTGTCCCGCCGAACACCCAGGCCCCAGCAGGGGCCTCGCCCATCAGAGGTGCCCGGAGCCAGCTGAGGGGGGTGCCTGCTGCAGATGCTTGGGAGGGAGGAGGCCTCAGCTGAGCTGGTGGGGGTTGGGGAAGGGTTCCCAGAGAAAGCAGCAGAGTCGGCTTTCGAAATGCGCCCTCGGTGGTTTCAATTTACACCCCTGGCTCGGAGTGTGGGAAGCAGCAGAGGACCCGTCCTGAGAGGGGCAGTTGCCACGTCCCTGGGAGCCCACCAGGCACCCTCAAAGGGAGCTTGTACGACAGGACCGGCGACCCACAGACAGCCACCCCTCTGCCTGCGGACACAGGCATCCGCGGGGGACACAGCTGACTCCGCTGAGTGCCCTCCTGGCCGTGGGTGGGGCGGCAGCGGCAGATGGACCGCGACGGTCAAGGGCTGAGCAGCAGGAGCCCGCCCGCCGCCCGCCCCTAGCCCCGCGCAGGCCCCCGCCCCCCAGCCCCCAGGGCAGGGTGGCAGAGCGCCGCCCCCCAGGGCCTCTGCGTCCTAGGGATGACGCCCGCGCTGGCCGGGCACAAGGCCCTGCTGGCCGCTCTCGGCTCCACTCTCTCAAGTCCCACCTCTGCCGGCAGGGCCTGGGCCTCCTCCTCCCAGCCCTGCGCTCAGCACCAGGCGGTGCCTGCGGGCCTGGCCGGCGTCGCACCCGTTCTCCCTGTGGGCAGAGCTGGGCTGACATGTAGATTCTGCCACAGGACAGAGCGACCCAAGGTTGGCTGCCGGCCGCCTGCCAAACACTCGCTCAGGCTTTCGTTCTGGGCGGCAGCGCCAGGCGGGGCCCGACGGGGGCGAGCTGGAGAGGGCCCTTCCTGCCCGGAGCGCCCGCCCTGGGGGGCCGCAGGCATTCAGGCCCCCCAGGGAGACCCTCCAGGCCTGGGGCCAGGGGGTCAGTGGGGGGAAGGGAGGGGAGGTGAGGAGGTAGGGGTGCAGGCAGACGGGGGACAGGGACGGGGACGGGGACAGTGTGGCAGTGGGGGGCGGCGGGGGCGCAGGGAGGTCAGGGCACGCAGGCCGGCGTCCTGGCTCCACAGGTCGACCTTCGGGGCAGCCTCTGTGAGGATAACAGGGCCATAGGGCACCTAAGGCGGATTAAGCCCGCGCTGCGGCCCTTGGGGGCAGCCGGCAGCCAACAGAAGTTAGTTCCTCTTCAGCGAGGACATGGCGAGGGGAGCGTCTGCAGGAAGAGGGCACCGCAACGCGCAGGCCCTGCGGCGGGAGGCGGGAGGCAGCAGGCAGAGTGTGCGGAGCCGGAGGCGCTGGGGTTGCGGAGGCGCTGGGGTTGCGGAGGCGCTGGGGTTGCGGGGTCCGGTGGAGGGGCGGGGGGCGCAGGGGGTCGGAGAGCCCAGGTCTCGGGGAGCTGCTCCCCGGCTGCGCCGCCCAGCTCCGCGTGGGTCCTCCGGCCGCACAGCCGCCGCCGGCAGCGCCCCGCCCCCACCGCCGCGCTCACTTGCGCCCCCAAAGCCAAATCGATCTGGCGGCGAACCACGTTGCCCTGGAAACTGAAATCAGCTTTGGAAGTCAGCTCATGGCAACTCCGCTCACGCGCGTGGGTGTCACGATCATTAGGCAGGCTGACTTGCACACTGTCCTTTTAAACCCACACAGCGGGCACGCGAAAGGAGGCCCTCGACCCCTGCTGTTCCGGGAAGTCGCCGCGTTCAGCTGCTGCTCCAAAATCTGCTGTCCCAGCAAAAACGCAGCGAGGCCCGCGCCTTCCCGCTGCCGGCGCCGATCGAGGCAGTCCCACGCCAATGTGCCGGGCGCCGTGGAGCGGCCTTTGCCGAGTCACCGGGCAGACGGTCTCCGTGACCGGTGGGAGAGGGGCCCCTGCTCACGAAACGTCAACGGCCCTCCGCGTGTGGCGGCCGCGCGCTCTGGGGCGTCTCCGCGGCCAGAGCTCGCAAGTGGGCGGAGGAACGGAGGTGTGTTCTCCGGCACCCCGGCGCGCGCGTCCGCGCGCGCGCACTCCCACCCGCGTCCCCTCGCAGCAGCCACACCCGCCGCTCCAGGATCCGGCGCAAAGTTATTTAACGCCGCGCTCAGCCGGCGGGGTGAGTCATCGGCTCCCCGGCCTCCGGCTGCAGCGGCAGCGGCGGCGTGGAAGGACCGGGCGCAGGCCGTGCCGCTCGCCCCGTGGGATCTCCGCGGACCTTCCAGAGACGCCCCGTCCCCGGGCCTACTTTCGGGAAGGGGATGGAGGGCCCACGGCGCCCTGGGGGAGGCCATCTCTCCCGCCCGCCCCCCATCCACGCGCCTTCCTCTCACCCACCTCGCGATCTCTCGTTCCGAACGAGGCGATTTACGCCCCCGCCCCCTGCACAGGGCGCACTGAGGCCTTGCAACGCTTCGAGTGAATTAACTCACAACCACTGGCGTCTGGGGGAGGGAATGCCTGTCCGACCCGGAGCAGGGCTTAGCCAAGGTTCCTCGTGAGGCTTCGCCTCTACCCACATCCCCGCCCCACGCGCGCGCGAGCCGGCGCCTGTCAGGCCCCGGGGGCGGGTCCCGGCCCCCGAGCTCCGCCGCCTCCCCACCCCCGCGCCGGCTCCCGGCCTGCCCCTCCCCCGGGCTCGCTCTCCCCTCCTCCCGCCCCTTCCCCGCAGGTTCACCACCGTGCGCCCCCCGAACCGGGCTCCGCTTCCCCGCCTCCCGGCTCCCCTGCTAACTTCCTCCGGCTCCGTGGCCTCCGGCAAGCGGGTGGACGTGGAGTGCGGCCCGGGCCCCGTTGTCAGAGAGCGTAGACGTAGCCGCGCGGGAGGTGGGCGTTGCAGCGGGTGGGGCCTGGGGGCCCCTGGGTAGAGAGCCCCGGGGCGGGGAGTGGCGTTGCCTAAGCGGCCAGGGGCGCCCGTTCCTGGAGGAAGGTGGAGAGACGCGCGGGGGGCCCCTCTCCTTGGGGAGGCGGCAGGGGGGCGTCCTAGGGGCTGCGGGGCGGGGCGGCGCGCGTCCTGGGAGGGGCGCCGCGGGCTGGGGAGGGGGCGCGCGCCCTGCGCTCCTCCGCGCCGCATCGGTTCCCGGCGCGGGGCCGCGGCGGCGGCGGCGGGAGGCGGAGGATGCGGGCTCCGGCGGCGGCGGCGGCGGCGGCGGCGCGGGCCCGGGAGGACGCGGGAGGATGAGGAGGAGGCCGGCGGTCCGGCCGCGCGGCGCCGGGAGGAGGCGCAGGCGGCGGGGGCGGCGGCGGGCGGCGGCGGGCGCGCGGGGTGCGGGCCGGCTCGGGCGCGGAGGATGAAGTGGAGCGTCCGCGGGGCCTGCGCCGCGCTCTCCTCCTGCCTCCTGCTCGCCTGCGCGCTCAGCGCCGCCGCCGTCGGCCTTAAGTGCTTCTCGCTGGGCTCGGAGCTCCGGGGGGAGCCGTTCCGGCTCGGGGCGGCCGCCGGCGCCTTCTATTCAGGGCTGCTGCTGGCCGCCGGCCTCTCGCTGCTCGGCGCCGCCCTGCTCTGCTGCGGGCCCCGGGACGCGCCCCTCGCAGGGCCGGGGTCGGGCCAGGGGCTCGGGGTCCCCGCAGCCCCGGGAGGCTCTCCGGAGGCTGCGCCGGGCGAGCCCGGGGCCGCAGTCGGGGCCCCCGGGCCGGTGAACAGCCAGAACCTTCTCCTGCTCGGCGTCCTCGTCTTTATGCTCGGCGTCCTCAGCGCCTTCGCGGGCGCCGTGATCGACGGCGACACCGTGTCCCTAGTGGAGCGCAAGTACTCCCACTACTGCCTGCCTCCGCGCGCGTCGGCCGCGGCTCCCGGCCCCGCGGCTGCCGCCCCCGGCCCGGCGCCCAGCGCGCCGCGCGCCCGCAGCACCCTGGACAGCGCCACGTCCGCCAAGTGCCGGCAGCTGAAAGACTACCAGCGCGGCCTGGTGCTGTCCACAGTCTTCAACTCGCTGGAGTGCCTCCTGGGCCTGCTCAGCCTCCTGCTGGTCAAGAACTACAGGTCGTCACAGGCCCGGCGCGGCCGGCGCGGCCGGCGGAGGAGCAGTCGGGCCCTGGCGCGGCCGCGCGGCGGCCCGGGGCTCCGCGTGCAGCTGCCAGCCTCACGAGTGCGGCGGGGCCGGCGGGGCCGGCGGGGCCGGCGGCTGCAGCCGCGTCCGAGCGAGGCTTCCATCCTGTCTCCGGAGGAGTCGGACTTCGCCGCCCCGGGGGACTGCGTGGGATTTGCGGCGCACCACGCCGTCTCCTACATCAACGTGGGCGTCTTCCACGCGTCGGACGAAGCCGGCGTGGAGGTGTGCTGCGGCGGGCACCCGTCCGTGGAGCTGCCGGGGTACGCGCCCTCGGACCCCGACCTCAACGCCTCCTACCCCTACTGCTGCCGGCCGCCCTGCGAGGCGGCACGCCCGTGGGAGCCGAGCCGGGCCTGCTGAGCCCCGGACGGGCCGCGCCGCGCCTGCCTGCCCGCCACCGCTGCGAGGGGCCGTCTGCCCGCGCGAGGCCTTCCGGCCGCGGGAACGGCCCTCCGGTGTTACCATTTCTGTATCGGGGAGGTTTCTCTTCTTTTCTGTGTCTGTTCGTATCCGGATTCCATTTTAAAGTTTACAATAAATGTTTGGGGTTAGCTCGCCCCAACCGCACTTCTCTCTGGCAAGTCCGTCCCCTGGGGCGCCGCCCCAGGTCCCGGGTGAGAGCGGCCCGCGATTGGCAGGAGGAAGACCCCTCGCCGGCCGCCGAGAGGACAGAAGGACAACTTCAGGATCGGAGGCGTGGGAAGCACCCGACAGCGACACTTTGTACACGGATGTGCCTGCTTTGTTGATACTTTCTTACTGTAAAGCTCCATAACAGTGGAAATGTTTGGTAAATTTATTGCAATTTAAAATTGGTGAGTTCCTTTATTAAATTAATTGCTATGTTATTGGAGTTAGAGGATGTCTCCACCCGGATCAGTGTGGGGGACGTGGGGGCCTTGCCAGGCAGACGTGCACCCCAGCCTCCCTGGGGACTCGCTGCCCGTGCCTGGTCCCATGCGTTTCTCTTTTTGGAAACTGGTGATGAGGCTTCTAGTGCAAAACTGGGCTTATTTTTGGTTAATGCATATGAACAACCCAACCCTATTTTGGAAAATCACAGTCATAGTGTTTCTGGCAAAGTCTATCTTCCTGTTGATTAATTCGTTAATCTGGGATTGTGAACATCATAGCATTTCATTTAAAAATATGCCCCTTAACTCGCATCTTGGCCTTTTGGCCAAGACTGAGTGTAGTGTTTATTCTTATGAGTTTAAACTATGCCCCTTAGTTGATGTGAAGGTCATAGTTTTACACCGTTAGTACATGTGTGCACACATTCACACGGAAGTGCAAAGTGCGTCCAGATGGAGGCGAGGGTGCCAGGAAGCGGCGTGTGTCCCGGGGGCGGCCTGGCTGGGGGCCAGGGCACCGGGTCTTGGGAAGCGCCCCCCAGTTCCCACGCGCTGGAACTGTGGCCCCGGCCGTGAGTGCTGGTCCTGCCCTTGCTCCGAGGAGAGCCCGCCCTGACCGAGGGTGGGGCCACCCTGAAAAACGAGCTGGGGACACGCCGGTGCTCCACCAGCGCTGAGCACAGCACAGACCCCGTGGCTGGGAAAAGCGGAAGGAGCGAGGTGTGATCTGGGCGGTAGCACGGGGTGTCCACATCTGACTGTGGTAAAGCACCTGGAGGCAGGGCCGAGGTGGAGCTTCCGAGTGCAGGCTCCAGGGCGAGGCGCTGCCTCCGCTCCCAGGTGCCCCCTGCAAGGCTGGGCTCCCCTGGGCCCCGTCTCGGCTGGGGCCTGGCCAGGAGCCCAGCTGCAGCGGAGGCTGCCCGAGAGCAGCCGAGACCTGCCACTGTTCAGCTGTGACAGATGTTCCATGTCTGCAAAACTCAAAGAGGCAACGAGCCAACGTCCCCACCTTGACGCATGGATGCCACCGGAGGAGCAACGGTCATTCGTGTCCTGGGTACGGGGTTCTCCCCCACAGGCCTCTTCAGAGGTGGGTCCGCATGAGGCCTCCAGATCAGCCAGGCTCAGAGTGCAGCCAAGCAGCACCCCCCACCCCAACTCTTGCAGCCTGCCCCTCCCCCCACGCCCAGTACCCTAAGGTGGCAAATGGGAGAAGTGGCAGCAAAAGTGGCTTTGAAGTGTTTCCCCATCTACCGAAGTCAAACATGCCGGGCACAGCTAGGCCCGTCCTGCTTCCCCGCAGCCAGCTGTGCAGCCCAGAGCCACGCAGCGGGGGTCCGTGTGGCCCCCAGGGCACAGGGTCAGGAGGAGCCCACCAGCGCGGGGGCACAGGGCATGAGACCTTCCCAGACCCTCTGAGGGGTTTCTTTTCAGATGACTTGTGCAGCTTACATGTTGGATGCCTGAGTGTCCAAGTGGCATCCAAATCCGTGGCCTCTCTGAGGTCTGAGATGTCTCTGGTGATGGAGCATGAGCCCAGCCGGTGGGGCTGTGGGGCCATGGGGCTGGTGGAGCTGCATCCGCTCCAGGGCGGGGCGGAGGGGGCCCGGGGCCCGGGGCCAGGGCGTCTGGCTGGGCGCTGGGAGCGACTGGGCGCAGGCGGGCTGTGCGCCTGGCGAACTTCTATGTGACCACAGAGCCAGGTGCTAATTTTTAAGATGCGAATGTTTCTAATTTCACGAATACTCTTAACTCGACTTTATAAAGACTGATATAAGGATGTGAGATACCAGGGCTTTCTTTTTGACAGTTTAATACAGGAAACAAAGTCCCAAATTATCCCTAAGCTGAAGATGTTCCCAAGTCTGGGCCTCAGGGAGTGAGCAGGGCCGCGAAGGTCCCCAGCCCCCTGTGGTGAGGACCAGCTTCCCCGCGAGGGCTGCGCGCTCGGGGCGACCCACCCCCCGCGGCGCCCTGGGGACACTCACGCCTCGTGTGGGACGTCCGCGTGGGTCCTTCTGGAATGGATTTCTCATACCCCGTGGAGAACCGTGCCAGTTCTCCGACTTCCTTAAAGTGGTTCTTGCTCTGCTTCTCAGGATAATAATAAACTCTTGGCCTGGCAGAGGCTTGTTATTATGAGGAAACACTCAAATCAAACACATTTTCGTGTTTTTGCATGGCTTAATGCTGAGTGTGTAAGCTGCCATTTTAAACAGAAAGGCTGCTGACTGTTACGGGAACTATTAAATGAGGACAGCACGCGGCTCAGCCGCCACGCAAGCCCTCGCTCGACCGCCACGCAAGCCCCGCCTCTGAGGGTGGGCACGCGGGCGTCCTGCGCAGTGGCCGCTCCGCCATCGAGGGGCCCCGCCCTCGGCAGCGCGAATCCACACCGTGCGACCGGATTCTGACTGAAATTCAAGTAAACAGTCATTTAATTTAAAAATCACTCAGGTGGTGTTTGTGGTGAAGGTCAAACTGCTGGTGATTAAATTTTTATTCCCAGCGGGCGTCCTGATCCAGTGCAGGCATAGCCCGGATGCGCACACACATGCATGCACAGGACTTCGCATGCACACACACACAGGCACACGTGGGAGCGCACACAAGCACAAAACCACATGTGCACACGCACACGGCCTCCTGGGTGTGTCTGAGGCCGGGCCTGCGCCCTGCCCCGGGCCCCCGGGACTCCAGGTGGAACCTGCCCGCTGCGGGGCATGTTTGGAGGGCAGCCTGGCCCGCGCTCCGTCACAGCCAGCGGGGCAGGCCGGTGGCGTGGGTCCCTCACCGGACGGCAGCGCAGACCAGCACAGCAGGCTGCGCTGGGGCACCGGAGCCGCGCAGCCGGTTGGGCGGGGCCGGCTGGGCCTGCGCTGCACAGACACCGTGTGGGTTGGTGCTGACTCTTTGGGGTCACACTCGGGTGGAGCTCCTGCCTGACACGGGCTGTGTGCCTGCCACATGGCCCTGCACTGCACCCCAGGTTCTTAGTGCTCGAAGGCACTGTTTTTTCACCAAGACACGAAAGAAAATAAATGACCTTAAGAAAAATGAGTTCCAGTTTATGAACAAGTAGAAGCTTTATATGCCAGTGTATCTGTTTTTATACATGAGACAGAGACAAAAGCTTAAGTTAATTGGTTTACTTTCCAATCTAATGTCTTTCTTAATTTGCTAATTGTCAGCACAGTAATTGACAAGAACGAAACACCGACGAAAGGAAGAAGGAAGTGTAGCTCAGGGAACTGGTTTGCATGTATCACTATGTCCTCATATGTCAGCGTGCATCTCCCCAGGACGCGGGGAGCCCGCTGATTCCCGGCAGAAAGGCATGTTAACGACAGTCTTCTTACAGTGTCCACTTTTAGTGGGACCCGCTCACACGTGCATTTGCCTAGAGGAGCCCTGGTCTCTGTTTGCCATCTTGTTCGGAGGGTCTACTGTTGGTCCGCAACTGGACGTCAATAAAAACCTTGTTGCTACAGATCCCTGAAGTCTGGGTCAGGGCACCGCGCAGCCCCTGCCTCCTTGTGCTGCGGCGGCACCCTGGCCCTGCTGGCGGCGGCAGCGTGCACACCTGCCCGGATGAACCAAGGGCACGAGGGCAGGCGGGTGAGGGGGTGAACGGTGGCTGCTCCGGCCCTGCGCCCCCGCCAGGGGCTGCTCACGGCCAGGAGAGGGCCCCCGCCTGCCGCCTGTCTCCTGCTTCTGGGCCACAGTTTGGCCTCTGCATCTGCCGCGGCCCTTACACTCCCGAAAGCACCAGCCCGATCCCTTTCTTGCTCTCCACTCCTGATTCAAGAGTTCCCTGCTCAGGAACGTTCAACACCTGCCCTTTTCCTGAAGGAAATTAATGCCTCACGAACCTGGCCCAGGCTGAACCTCTGGCTTTCTCTGTGGGCCTCCAGGGCCCGCGAGCAAATGGACAGGTGCCCCCACCTGTGGGGCCCCGTGAATAAATGGGTGATCGGTCTGGCGGTGGAGACCGGTGCTCCCGGGACCGTCTCGGCGCCTGGACCACCTCACAGCTCCACTCGCGGCTTTTTCCTGGCTTCTGGCGGCTGCTGGTTCGTGTTTCTGGGCTTGTAGACTCGCCGCCCCCGTCTCTGCCTCTGCCTTCATGTGGCCTCCCGTACGCCTGTCTCTGTCTCTCGTAAGTGCAGTGTCACTCAGTGTAGGGCCAACTCCAGTCCAGTCTGATCTGCAAATACCTATTTCCAAAAAAGGCCACGTTCCGGGCGGACCAGCATTTGGGGGGGATGATCCTGAACCCAGTACCGAACTCAGTCAAGGTTAGTGGTTTGCTCCTGTCCCCCCGCCAGGGGCTCGGAGACCTCAGGGGCCGAGGCCGCCGTGGAGGAAGGGGGAGCTTCGTCAGACCAGGGCGGTCAGGAACCAGAATGCACCTGCCCGATGGATGTTCTTTTTTTTAAAAAAAAGGTGGTATTTATTTATTTTTAGAGAGGGGGGAGAGAGGGTGAGAAACATCCGTTGGCTGCCTCTCACATACCCCCAACCAGGGACTGAACCCCCAATTCAGGCATGTGCCTTGACCAGGGAGTTGAACTGGTGACCTTTTGCTTTGTGGGATGACACCCAGCCCACTGAGCCACGCCAGTTAGGGCTAAATGAGCATTTTTTAAAAAGTTTTTATTTATTTATTTTTAGAGAGAAGGGAGGGAGAAAGAGAGGGAGAGAAACATCCATGTGTGGTTGCCTCTCGCGCGCCCCCTACCGGGGACCTGGCCCGCAACCCTGGCCTGTGCCCTGGCGGGGAATGGAACCGGCGACCCTTTGGTTTGCAGGTGGGCGCTCAGTCCACGGAGCCGCACCAGCCGGGGCCAGATGAATATTCTTTAAAAAGCTCAAATGTTAAAGACTGACTGCCCAAGGAGAAACTCTGCTTTTGGCTTATTTCCAAATATTCTCACATAACAGCCTTAGTAACGGACTTATTTTGCAAACCCACACTGGCACGGCACATCCCTCTCCGTGGCTGGTGGGGGCAGAAGTGGCCCGGACCTCGCCGCGCGGACGGGGCCTCCCGGCCCCCGCCCAGCCTGCCGGACTGTGAGCTGGCCTCAGCCTCCTCTGGCCCCGCCCCCATCACCTTCCCCAAACTCGCTCCCCCCTTAACCCCCGAACAGTCACCCAGGCTGAGGGGATGCGCTGGTGTGCCCAGGACGGAGGCTGCGAGAGTGGGGGCCTCGGTTGTCCCTCCTCGTGCTGGGAGGGGTCCAGCCTCGTTCCAGCCACAAGGAAAGGCCATGGTTCTGTTCCCGAGCAGCGTCCATGGCTGCAGATCAGCCAATGAGAAGCCGCGGTCTTCACCTGAACCCTTCCTTCCCCCAAGGGAACGCCCCCTTTCCTGCTGTGGAGACTTGCTGTCCCGCCTCCTTTCCATGGAAGCCCCATCCCGCCCACCTGCTCCCGGGGGCTCCCCTGCTTGGGGGGTGGGCTGCAGGCCAGTTCGTGGATCAGTAGTGAGGCCAACAGTCTTCAAATGTAATGAGTTGGATTTTTGTCTTTAACACCATCATGTTTTTGTTAGTTTTTGGTATTATGATTTGCTTTTTCTGGAATAATCTGTTACCGGGGTAATTTACACTAATATATAATTGATTTCAATCAAGTGACCACTGCATCTGATTTTAAAGTCAATTGTGCTGCTGTTTTCCCCTTCGACTCTATTTCCACCCCTAAAGGACGCACTGTCTTCAGTCATCTGTCCCCATTTTTATGGAAAGTGACTACATTGCTACTCCGGCTCTTCTTCCGTTTTGGATGGCACTGATTTCTCAGCAGTGAGCACTGCGGTGCCTTTTTCCACCCCCAGGGGTCGATACATAGCCGTCTATCCCCACCCTCCCAAGACGGTTTTGCCCCCCCATCCCACTGCCCCCAACTCCGTATTTTACTTTACTGAGGTCATTGACATTGTTCACAGGTGATTCCTGTGGTAGGTCCGTGACCACGTTCTTTCCTGTTTTTCCTGAAATGGACTGGCTGGTGTTTTCCAAGAATCTGTGCCCAGTCACCCCCAACTTTTGGCAGAGGTGAAAACATTCTGCCATGTAGTCAGAGGTGCCCCATGACACAGGGGGTCTTCTCCTGGGGACTGACACAGGCTCTGTGGGTCTCTCTGCTCAGTGTCGGGGCCTGTGTCTGCTCCCTTCGGGTCCCTGCACGTGGTGCCTGAGGTCTCTGAGCGGCAAGTGGGGCTGAGCACCTGCCACCAGAAGCTGGTCACAGGTGTTCACAGCAGCTTATTCATAATCGCCAACACTGGGAGCAACCACGGGGTCCTCCCCAAGACACATGTCCTTCACTAGGGGAAGGGACGCACACACTATGGCCCACCCAGACAACGGGATGTTATCGAGCACTAAAAGGAAATGAGCTATCAAGCCACAAAAAGACGTGGCAGACACTTAAGGGCACGTTGCTGAATGGAAGCCAACCTGAAAAGGCTCCACACTGTACGATCCCAGCTCCATGACATCCTGGAAAAGGAAACCAGGGAGAAGGCAAATAAAAAACAAGGAGAAAAATTCCTCCTAAAATACCTTTGAAAGGAAAGAAAAAAATCCAGAGAGATGAGGAGGAAGCAGAAAAAAGGAAAGAGGGAGAGAAGCAGGAAGAAGAAGGAACACAGAATGGCCGAGCTGGGGAGAGAAGCCACGCAAGGGAGGCCGGAGGGGGCGCGGGCGGCCCCGCAGCCTCCTGCCCGCCCAGCGCGGGAGTCGCCGCCGCAGGAGGACAGCACAGCAGGCACTTCCCAGGGGCAGCAGGTGGCGGGCCCAAGTCCACGGATCCCCCTGAGCAGAATTCAGATGATGACATCATCCTGCAAACAGAGGGAAGTAAAGCAGCGGCAGCGCGGGGAACCCAGGCTGAGCTGGGAGCCACCACCGCAGCGTCTGCGCCGAGCAGCCGCGCACAGCGCAGGGCAGAGCGCGTGCGCTGCGAGCGAGCTGGACTCCCACGGGAGAATCCGGGGGCGGGGCAAGGAGGAGTGTGTGAGAGCGTTGTCCTGTTTTACAGAAGGGAGTCCACAGGTGTGACCTAAAACAGGGAGGAGGAGTTAATTTTTAAAATGAACACGTTAAAGTCTTTTCTTAATTTCATAGGACCGTTATGAACTAATACTTCTTGTAATAAAAAAGTTATCCAAAGTTCAGCACTTTTTGTTTCACTTAGAGTTTTCTGTGAAATTCAGAAAATTACATTAAATCTCTCGGATTAAGAATAGCAACCTGCAGGGGGGCCTTAGTGCGCCCGGTCCCTCCGAGGTGTGCCTGCCAAGGGCGACGAGTGTGGCTTCTGGGTGGTGATAGTTAAAAATACTTTCTTTTAAAAATGTGGGGTTTTTTAAATTGTTTGAGTATTCACAATCTAAAAATTACAAGTGATATCAAGTCATTATTGCTTAAAAAGAGGGGGCACAGCGGGGGAGGCACAGAAGCGGGAGGAGAGCCCCGGAGAACAGGCCGCCTGCTCCTTCGTTTCAGATCGCGGTCCTCTTCTAAGTCAGAATTTTAAAGGCAAAGACAGCAGTGGCTCCGACTGCTGCGCCCTGCGGTGCCTGTGGGAAGGACGCCCTGAAGACCAGGACAGAGGGCCGGGCCCCGGGGACGCGGGTGCCAGGGCTCGGGGCCGCGCCAGGGAGGCCCTGTGATGGGACGGGACGGCCTGGTTGTTTGGGGCCGGGTGAGTGGCCGACATGGACTGCAAGCCGAGAGAGACAGTCGTGGACTTGCAGTTTTCACACTAAGTTCAAGTTTTGGAGAATTTGCACCTGCCATTGTGCTTCCAACATGAAAGAGTTTTCTGCCGGTGGTATAAGTAGTGGTTTTTGGGTTTGAATGATGAGGCCTGTCAGCATTTGGACTCATCATGATGATAAAGAGGCAGAACCACCCCTGGGGAGGGGCCCCTTCAGGGTACAGGGCAGATCGAGGTTCACCTACATGGTGTCAGATCACACAGCACAACGAAGCTTCTCCTTTTCAAGTACGTTTATTTTCAAGTAGTCGAAAACTCACATGAAGTTGCAAAAACAAGGCAGAGCTCCTCGTTCCACGCCCCAGCTTCCCGCGGTGGCATTTAAGGCCACAGGACTTAACAAAGCCCGGTGAGCCAGGCGGAGGCCACGCGGACGCAGGAGCGGACTCACGGGGTCGTGCAGGCTTTTCATGTATTCGTCGCATTTTTCTCAAACCAACCTTTAAGAGACTGTCACTTGCAGAGTTTCAGTGCAGTACCAAGAAAGAACGCCCATGAAGACTAGAAGAAGGAATTAAAATATCCTCCCTTTTTCACAGACAGGTCTGTGTGACCAGTTCACTTAAACAGATGGACCACAGCAGAGGGGACGCAGGATCCAACCGTCCTCAGTGAAGCCAGACGTTACAGAGACTTGAAAAAATATAAAACAATGCCACCCTTTATTGCTAAATATTTCTGTTTTGGAAAAGTTATTTTTCTTAAAAATATATTAGCATATGACAGGATTATATCTTTATTTTTAAATGAATAATTTTTTGAAATGTCTTAATTTTAATTGCAAATGCCATTTGTGCAACAGAGGTGGCCCGGACGGCACAGCTCCCGGGGTCCCCGTGGTGCTGGGGGGCCATGAAGGGGCAGACAGGACCCGCCTCCCGCAGGGCTGCTGGGCTCTGAGGACACACACACAACCTGGCGGCCTTTTGAGGCACCGATTTAAACACACAAATTTGGGTTATAGCATCAGTTATCCAGAGGAAACTGAAAGTTTGGAAGCTGTTGGAGTGATTGTCAACAAGGCAAACTAAGCCGCTTGCTACGGAATCTGAGTTCTAGCACCGCAGGCCAGGAAATTGAAGCTACTCATCGACATTGTAGAAATCACACCTTTTTTTTAGAATGATCTTGCATTTAAATTTTTATTAATCAAATCCATGGAGTAAATAGTAGACTTTGAAAGTATCTTGTTTTCCAGCGTCTAAGGCCTGGCGTGGCCCCGATCGGAGGCGACGAAGGACACGCAGACAGCAGCCGTGAGGAGCAGGTGCATCCCCTCGTAGAGAAGTTTCGGAGAAAACACGCTCCAAATGAACAAGTGGTAACGCAGGGACGTCACCAGAAGGACGTACGCAGACACCGGGAGGGAGCAGATCAGCGCGTAGCAGAAGCAGGCGTGTCTCAGGGCTGAGCCGCTGTTGACGAGACGGGAATGTGAATGAGGCCGCGCACAACACAGGTGGACGGCACAGACGCCTGTCCGGTCGGTCTGGCGGGGAGCCTGGGGAGACGCCACGGGCAGCAGGTACCTCCCGCCACTCTCCTGCCGCCACAGTCTCTGAAGTCGTTTTGAAAAAATGCATCCCCGTTGTTTGCACAGTTACCTATTTAAAACTGACATGCATGTACTACGATACTATCACATACATTATAAAATATAAACAATGAAAAGAAAGTCTCACAAGAGTATGAACAACTATATGCCAACAAACTGAACGATCTGGAAGCAGTGGATTAATTCCCAGAAACACACAATCTTCCAAGATGGAGTGAAGAAGAAAGAAAATCTGAAGAGACCTGTAACTGCTAATGAAATCAAAGCAGTCAGCCAAAAATTCCCAACAAAAGTTCTGGACCGGATGGCTTCATGGGGAAATGTTAGTAAACACTCAAAGAAGAGTTAACCCCTATCCTCAAACTGCTCCAAAAAATTCAAGAGGGAAGGCTCACAAGCTCATCTTATGAGGCCAGCATTTATCCCACTTCCAAGACCAGACACAGATTTTACTAAAAAAAGAAAATTATAGGCCAATGTCCCTGGTGACCATAGATCCAACAATCCTCAACGAAATATTAGCAAACCGAACCCAGCAATGCACCGTAAAGACCATGCCCCACGGCCATGTGGCCTGTCACCCTGGGACCGAGGAGGCAAGGACGCCCGGTCCCCTCAGTCAACGGTGCTGGGCAATCGGGACAGATTCCCGCAAAAGGTGAACCAGACCCCCTTCCCACACCACGTATACAAACTGACCGGCCACGATGAGTGGCTGAAAGCGGCCTCGGTGCGCTGCGCTCCCTCCACTATCACATGCACGCTGCTGCTCCCACGCCCCGTCCCCCACCCCCCGCAGGCTGGGGTTCCTGCTGCCCGTGCGCCCTGCTCTGGGTGCCCTCTGGCCCTGGCTCAGCAGCGACCCCACTGGACCATGAGCTCCTGCAGCAAGCCCTGCGTCTGCACTGGGGTCCTACCCACGAGGGAGGGGATCCCAGGGGGCTCATCCATCCCGGCGCCTCCGCCGGAGGGAAATTTGGGGGGAGCCTCAGGACGACAGGCCTCGGCCCCTCGCCGCCCCACCCCCAGGGAGCGTGCGTCTGCGCCCAGCCTCCAGGCTGGGCCCCTCCCGACCACAGCGCGCAGGCGGCTCCCACAGCCACATCCCGGGGCGGCCCCCCGTGACCTGCACCTCAGTAGGACGGACGGCGGCCCCACACCAGACCAAGGGGCAGGGGGCGTCACCTGCTGGAGTCTGAGCTCAGGAAGTTCACCAAGTGGCTGGCCCACAGCACGGGCCCCGCATACGTCGCAAACGCTGTCAGGAACATGGCGGGGACCTCCACGTAGGTGCTCAGGCCCACGAAGCCTGCGGCAACGTCCACCGTGGCGATGTTGTTGGAGTTTCCCTGGAAGGCAGGGCGATGGCGCTGGTGTGGCCGTGCTTACAACATGGCCCCCGGGGACCGTGAAACCGTCATGACCACCGTGACGCAGACGCACCGGAGCCCCGGCCTCCCCTCCGCCCCTCTCTGTCCCGCTGACCCTGGACACACTGTCCCCCACCAGCCGCCTCCCTCAGACAGGGAGGGGCAAGTGCAGGGTCCGGCGCTCAAGATGCTCCGCCGACGGAAGCCCACTGACCGGTGGCCGCTTCCGAGTTTCCTGAGATCTCTCTACTCCACATGGACGCCCCCGCCCTGCCCCCCACCTGACACCCCATCCAGGGCTGTGACCCTGGGAGGCACCGGGGTCGAGGGCGCCCGCCGGGGGCTGAGGACCGTGTGCCCCAGTGAGGGCCTGTCTGAGGGTGGACACTGCTGGTAGGCCACAGGCTGGCCACCTGGAGGGCTCCGGCCGCTCAGGGTGGGGCTGAGGGTCAGCCCTGAGACCGTGGTGGGGAACCACTGGCTCTGGCGAGGCGGCTCCGCCCCCAGCTGGCGCGGCAGGGAGGCGGGGCTCTGGGTCCTCACCCGGCACTCAGCCCGTATCAACGCTGGCAACCTTTCCTCAGACGTCTGGGGTGTTCACAGGCTGGACCACACGCAAGCCCTGGTCCCCGCCCAGTGAGGGCCCCTCCACAGAGCTGCCTCCCAAGCGGGGATGTGACAGCACAGCCACGCTCCCCTGAGACAAGGCAAGGGCGCGGGGTGTGCCCTGTGTGTGGTGGGGACACACCACAGCCCCAGCCCACTGAGCACGTGTGTCGGAAAGAACGGGCTGCGGTCCACCTGACACAACGCACTCGAGGCTGAAGCATCCTCCGCCACACATGCACCGTAACTCCCCACCCTGTGCTCAAGTCTTCTCAAAGGAAAGATAAGTGACAGGAAAAGCTGGCGATCGATCTCCTACCCACGACGATAATGAAAACCTACCTGAAAATAGAAGAACGCTTGGCCCAACCAGTAATGCATGGCCGTGACCTCCGCGGCATCGTGCCTCAGGGGCCTCCAGACGAAGCTGGCCATCACGGCCTGGACCAAGAGGCTGCACGCCAGGACGGGGAGGTTGTGCGGCCTGAGGAGCAGCGCCGCCAGGAGCACCAGGCCCCCGTGTATGTCCCACAGACCCACGGGCTTGCGTGTGAGATGCGCTGCCAGGACACGAGATCTGAGCAAGTCTTTGGTGCCCGTGAACAGAATGCCAAGGACAAACATGTACACGAAACGAGCCTCAATGATGCCCCTAAAAAAAATCAGAACAGCTTAGGTTTGTTAGCGCCACCCAGGCAAACTCAAGTACATATTTTCCCATCGCGGCCACATATCTACTCAGCTCAGAAGCCACAGTGCCACCCGCCCGGGGTGCCCGGTAGAGGGGGCGCCTGCCCGGAGGCCGGCATGCTGGCCCTCATGGCACGCCCTGCTTTGGTGGAGCAGACGCACGGAAACTGCTCCCGTCTGGTCCGAGGATGCCCAGCGCCGTCCACCCGGTAAGGTCCAGCTCTGCCAGGAGCTCCACGAGTTCACGAGCGCTCAGGTACGACTGCACGGGCTCAGCCAAGCAGATGCAAGTCAGCGCTCTCAGGCGCCGGCGCACATGCACCGTGGCGCGGCCTGGCAGCGGCTCCACCAGTGCCCGGCTCTGCGGCTGGGGCGAGGCAGCTAGTCAGTTACTGCCAGTGGTGCTCAGCTCTGTTGCACGTAAATGAGGAGAGATGGCACCCACGCCGCACCAAGCTGTCCCGGGACTGACCCCGGAGGATGCACGGCAAGTGTTTGGCACACGGGCAATATTACAAATCAAGTCATTTACCATGTTACTCACAGTTGTCTGTGAAGGACACAGTTTGTGACACTATACAAACACATTTCATCTATGAAACACGTATGTTCCCAAAACACACCTTGATAAATTTCAAATATCAAATATTTTATATATACTAGAAAAGCTAATCATTTGAAGTACTGTTAAGTAAAAATTTTATAATGAAGTAATCACCATAATGTATCTATTCTGAAAAACTGCACTTCCGTATCTCAGATTCTCCTAGGAAGGTTTATGCATTTCCAGCCCAGGCGGGAGCTAACAACAGGCCCACGGGTTTAAAGAAGGAGAAAGCGGCAGAGGTCCGAGGGGTCCGAGCAGTTTGCAGGAGGGGCGCTGGGCTCCGTGTCCGGAGGTGCCGGTCAGGCTGAACGGCCGCCTGGAGGGAGCGCGCTGCCGGCCCCGGGCTCCACGCGGAGGAGAGTCCGGCTAAACATAAAGGGGGGCGGGCAGCGGCACGTGGGGTCTGCGAGGGGCGGGGCAGCTGTGGGTGACGCAGAACCAGCAGGTCCAGAACCAGGCGGGGTCTGCGATCGGGGGCGGGGGCAGGAGCGGAGGGTTCCGCAGAAACGATGGGAGCAGGGCAGCACAGGCCGCGCGGGCGTGCTGGCCCACACGGGCGCGTGCACCCAGGGGAGGCGAGGAGTGACCCACGTTTGGAAGTGGGTGATGCTGAGAGCAGGCGCATCGGTCTGAGAGGCAGAGTGGAATTCACTCACGTATGACCCGTGGAGGTTTACACACACACCCTGAAATGGGACTTCCGGGCTTGACACGGGCCCGGAGTCTCAGACTCCGAAGCCGCCACGCTGCCCTCTGTGGCCTCTCTGCCTCGGGCGGAGGCCTGGCGCCCGGCCAGGCCCTTGGCTCCCCACACCCGTCCGCAGGTCGCTTCCAGGGGTGCCCCTCATGCCCTTGGCCCCCCAGTGGCCTGGCCCAGCCATCTCGACCTTCCCCTTGACCTGTACAGGGAAGATGACACTTGCTTTTCTCTGATTAGAAAACACAAAACTGAGCACAACCAAGATCAGCTCCTCGAAGGTCTGTGTCCTGAAAACAATCACAGCTAATGATGTAGTTTAGTCTTTCACACATAGAACACGTGCTCCTGTGTCACGGGCTCGGGCCACCACGCAGCCCAGTCCCCCGCCAAGCGTCGCAGTGGCTGCGGGAGTTCAGAGCCCCCTTCCCTGGCTCAGGGCCTCGCCCACCACAGTTGCCAGTGGCCGCGCTTCCGCCCTGTGCGGTGGCCGTGCCCCGGCCTCGGCCTCATCTCGGCTTCTCTCCCGGAGACAAACTGCCCCCAGGACACTGGGGTTGGAGTCTGGGCGCACTCGAGGCTCCGCAGGTCTCGCAGCCCACGCTGCGGACATCGCCCGCCCCACCCCAGAGCCGAACACAGAGGAGCTGACCCCGCTGACCAGCAGGGGGCCTCCCTGCCTGTCCGATGATCTGGACTCTTGCCTTTTGTGCTGTGTTTGCCAGCTGCTCAGCGACAGCCACATGTCACCACCTCGGAGCTTCCTGACCAAGAAATCCAGACCCTTTAGATCCCTTGCTTTCAAAAACGCCTTGTTTAAAAATAAACCTCAAACACCTTTCTCCCAAGGCACCTGTGTCTCTCCTGCCAGAACCGAGAGGGAAGCAGGGCCACGCCCTGGGGCCACTGCCGGCAAAACCAGCTCTGGGACCACAGGCTCCAGCGCCCCAGAGGCGGCAGGGCACGCGTCCGCGCACACACCAGGGGACAGACCTAAACGCCCACCCTCGGGGCCGCCGGCGCACGTACTTGGAGACGCCTTTGCTGTCGCGCTGCCAGGGCAGCAGCACGTGGCCAGTGGCCGCCCGGTAGCAGTAGACGCCCAGCAGGCCGAGCGCCAAGGCCGCCCGCGACACGGGCGAGCACCGCCGTTGAGCCAGCGCGAAGACCGCGAGGAGGCACAGGGCAGCCAGCGCCGACAGCTCGGCTTTATGGTCAGAGCTGAAAGAGATGGGAAATGCCAACAATTAGTGACAAGTGTAACAACTGATGTCACGGATCTACACGGAGTGGCTTTCTAAGACCTGTACTAAACGTGCTGGCTTCCTGGAAGAGCAAAACAGAAAATCGTTGGTGACTTACATTCGGACCGAGGCTCTCACCACTTAGTAAAGGGCTGTTCCCGTGGACGCCCATTTCTCATGCACCTGGTCCCCACACCAGCCCCGCCCTGGCCGGGGCGGGGACGAGCATGAGACACCGGGCCTTGTGCCCCTCTCCTGAGGCAGCCGCACTGTCCCCAACGCAGGGGCTGGGCAGCGCACAGGGACATGCACCTCCTGGTATGACCCTCTTCCCGGGTGGGGGACTCCAGAGAGGTTCAGGGGCTCACGGGGCAGGGCCGGCGAGGGCTGCTCCCTCCCGGAGCCTGAAGCGCAGCGGCCGGTGGGGCCGTGCGACCGCTCTGCCCAGGCACCTGCACACACGAGCGAGACACGCCCGGGACAGCGCACAGACGTGGCCAGGGCCTGGGCCTGAGGACGGCAGGTGTGCTGGGACCACCCTGTGGCCCGGTCCTCGCTCAGAGGGGCGGTCACCTAGGCGTCCATCCATGGCGGCCATGACACTGGACCCTGTGCTCTGCCCCGGGTTGGTCGTTGTCACAGCTGAGAAATGGGAGTTTGGCCGCCCCTCAAGGTCTGTCAGGAGGGGGGTGGGGTCACGGCGAGGCCTCTGCAACGGGCGGGAGCCCCGCAGGGCGGGAACAACTTGTGATGACGGAGGGGAGCCAGGTCCCGTGTGCGGAGGACGTCGGTTCACACCGAGCCATGGGCACCGCGGGGCCCGGAAGAGGGGGGCGGGGCGGGGCCCCCGCGGGTGGGAAGTGGCCAACTCTCCCGCACGGCGGCAGGTTCCAGAAAACTACGAAGAGGGTCACGGTGCTGCCCCGGTGCCTCCTGTGCTCGGGCTCTTGACGCCTGGCGAGGTCGTGCTGGGAGGGCGGCACAGCTCCCCTTGGCCCCTCACCCGACGTGGGGACAGCAGCGTCCTCAGGGGGGAGCCAGCGAGGGGCAAAACCGCATCCTCGCCGCAATTACCACAGAAAGATCACAGGGTTTCAAACACCACGAATCACAACGATTCGGCAACAAAAACCCAAACACAGGAGGCGGGTCTTGGGCTCCTTCCCCCATCGAGCCAGGGGCAGGGTGTGCTTTTCCAGGCCCTGCGATCTCAGACGCCCTCTGCATCCTGACCACGAAGGACAGGCCTGCCTTCTGCAGAAGGAGACCACGAGGGGCCGTGGCCCATGCTCTCACCTGGCCAGCCAGTGCCCCAGGTCGGGGCGGTGGGCCCACTGCACCCCCGTCTGGTTCAGGGGCCGCAGCAGCCGGCAGCAGCCGAGCACCAGCCACGGGCTGGCCAGCACCATCCCCTTCTCGCGGCCTCGGAGCGCGTCCAGGGAAGAGGGTCCACGGTGTCTTTGGCCCGCCTCCGGCACGTCACAGTGGCGGTTCTTGTTCCGCAGAGCGGGGACCGCGCCGGCAAACCCTTCCTCCGTGTGCGAGCAATGCAGGGGCGCGTCACCGTCCCCCGGGAAGCAGTTTCTGCAGGAGTCGTGGCCCAAGGCCAGGCACAGGGTGCTGACCAGGAAGTACCAGGTCTGGTGCTCCTCCTCGATGAAGCTGCTCGCGCCCAGGCTCGCGGCGTGGCCCAGCGTCCCCAGCAGGATGAGGAGGTCCAGCTCCGACCACCTGGAGCTGCAGTGAGCCGGGTTCTGGAGAGAGGGAGATGCGTTCTGTGCGGGAAAAATCGGGCCACCACACGCATCCTGCTGCACACGCTTCAAGCCACTGATCACGGGGCACAAACCCCGGGGGCCCTCGCCTCACGCACCTCAGGCCCCACCGCCTCGCTGGGATGGCCTGTTCCCCTCGGCACAGGCCGGGGACACGGGCCGTCCTCACCCTGGACTGCCCGTCCGAGGCCGAGTGGCAGCGAGGCGCTGACGTTTAGACCCGACAGCTGGTGGCGCTGGAGAGCGCGGCCTCCCCAGCCGCCAGGCGGCCACCGCCCGTTCCTGCTCCCGGGCAGTTCCCACCTCACTGGACCTCTGATTTCTCCACAGATTTTCCAGAAATCCAGAAACTGTGCACTGAAACAGTCAATTCTACTGGAATGACAAAGCTGGCACCACAGCACTGCCCTGAGATGCACCCACGCAAAGCACGTGAGCTGGGAGCTGAGCACTCAGCGACCGCCACTGGGCCCCTCCTCGACGCGGACCCCGCATCCGTCCGGCCAGGAGGCAGGCCGAAGGGCCCGTGAGCCTGGCCAGGCCTGGGGGAGGCCGGCTCTCACGCACCACGGGGGGCCCTCAGACGCGGCAGGCCCAGCGCTGGGCCCCCTGGGGCTCTGGGGCTGGCCATCTGCCCGCCTCTTCCTCAGGGCCCTGCCCCCACAGCCAGCTGAGGAATGGAGGTGCAAGAGGCCAAAGGCCCTAAACACCCCAAAGGAAAACGTCAGCCGGAGAGAGAAACCTGCTTCGCACCAGGCAGCACGGGTCCCGGTGCCTGTGCTGCCCCGTCCACCAGCTGCCTCCCGGCCGGCGACCAGCAGCTCTGCACGGCCCCCGTGTGACAGTCACCGACACGGAGACCCTGTCTTTCTCACCGACAGGTGGGGCCTGGGACCTGGCGCTCCGCACGCGGGGACAGGCCGCCCTTGTGGGCTCCTTTCCTTGCTGGCCAGGGCTGCCCAGGCCTGACAGGTTGACTAAAATAACAAAACATGGCCTGTGTGAAAAGAGGGTGCCACGCCTGCGGGGACCCGCCTTACCCTCCTCGGGAGCCGAGCACCCAGGAGCGCCCGGGTCAGGGCGGCCACGACGGCGCAGAGCAGGGCAGCGACGAGCGCCAGCACCGCCGCCGCGGTCGGCCACGCGAGGCTGCAGAAGTAGCAGGAGCTCTCGGCCGAGGTGCACACGGCGACGTGCACGGCCCAGAGCAGCAGGAGAGTCACATAGAAGAGCAGAGACGACACCGGCGCCGGCAGAGGGACGTCCAGCTCGGCCGCGGCGCCCAGAGCCTGCGGGGCGCTGAGCAGGAGCAGGGCGAGGACCTGGGGCAGGAACGCGGGGTGTGTCCACGACGGTCGGGCGTGGGGCGCCGCGCAGCCCTGACCCGACTGTGTGCCCAGGGACGCCAGGAGCAGCCAGGGAAGCTCCTATGTTCCCGTGTTCAGAAACACGGACGTCACCCATCCTCTGACCTGTGCAGCCCCGGCGACGCCATCAGGCCAGCCCCACGGCCGAGCCGCGGCGCCCGCGAGCACGCACCTCCAGGGCCACGACGGCGCCCACCACCATCGAGTAGATGTCGTAGTGGGCCCCCTGCGCGCTCAGGGCCAGGCTCAGGGTCCTCAGGGCCTCCAGGTACTGCCTGCGGACCTTGCTCCCCAGGCTGAGAAGGGCTTCGGAGTGGCTGTCCTCCAGGTACCGTCGGACCCAGTTTGCATGCAGCCTTTCTGACATTTGAAACTGTTCAAATCCAGGCTCTGTGGGGGGGTCACACAGACACGTGTGTGTGGGCAGGTCAGGGTCAAACGACCACAGGCGGGCAAGGCTGCACGGAAACGTGGGGCCAGCATGGGCGGGGTGGACACAGTCTCACAGGCGTGGGGACTCACCTCTCTTATAGGCAGGGACGTTCTCTCGCAACAGCCTGCTGAGCTGCACTGCGTTCAGGTGTAAAAACCTCAGCTGCTCTCGCATTGCCCTTCCGGCCACGACGGGGAACAGGAGGTGGCCCACGCTGTGTTTGGGGATCGGCAGACCAAGCCCTATTGCGAGCGTTGCAGCCAGGTCGGTCTGTTGGACGTGCTGTGTCTGTCTGACGTCACCTGGGGAAGAAACAGTGTAAGGGACAGGTTCCAGAATGCGCAGGATGGTAGTTGCTCTCGAGTTTGACCTCTACAAGAAGGTCGGCCAAAGCGTCCACGTCTTCGAACCCTTCCCTGCAGGTTCACGTGGAAAGCGCCTCGCTGTCTGATGCCAGTCAACCGACGGAAGGCCCACTCGGGGGGCGCGCTGCCTTCCCTTGGGCTGCGTGCAGTGCCGGGGAGGCTCCAGCACACACATTCCGCGCGGAGTGAGCTCCACAGCATGGCAGGCCACGGGGGCGGGGGGGGGCAGGCAGTTCAGAGGACGGCCACCTGAGGGACGGTCCCTTCAGCGAGGTCAGCAAACCCTTGTGAAGGGAGAGGCTGGTCTCCAGCGGTCCTGGCCTCAGGATTCAGCGCGGCCCTCTCCCCAACCCCACAGAGCAGCAGGGGGGCTGCCATGGGGGCCTGCTGAGAGCCGGCCCTGCCCGCTGCTGTCCTGAAGCACTTCCTGGCCCAGCAGCAGCTCCCTGTCCCGCCCTACCAACCGCTGCGTGGAGGCAGGTGTGATCAGGCCCCGGGCCCTAGCCCTGCGCCCTCCAGTGCGAGACCTGGGACAAGCAGCTCCATGCAGCCAGCGTCCCGCCTGTGCGGTCAGGGCCCAGCCCCCCCTGACCCAGGAGCTGCCCTGCGGGTCATCCCAGTGCTGAGCATAACCCAGAGGCCCCTGGGGAGGCGGTGCCTGGGCGGAGTCTCTTAGACACTGTAGTGTGAGTGTGTAGACAACGAGCTTTGATTGCAGTGTTTGTTGCATAGAATTTTTCTTTTTAAGTGGGTTAAATTTATTATCTTTTCTTGACTGATCCTCTACGGATGGCTCCTGGGTTCTACTTAGAAAGAAGTTTCCTCTCCAACATTAATTTTTTCTTGTTGTGTTCTCTTACATTAAGTACACTGATCTGAAGCAAGACAAAACCCAAAACAAAACCCCGCTTTGGGAACTGACAAAAGGCTGTTATTCCGAGACCCAAACTGCGAGTCCACGTCCCGACCTCGTCACGCAGGGCCCTGCGCACGGGACGACAGGTGTCAGCCGCAGGGCCGTGAGCGTGGCACCCGCGGCCCAGAGGCGGGAAATGGGCCGAAGGTGTGCGACGTCACATGGAAACGTGTATACACAGAAACCGTTTTGCCAACGTGCACGTAACGCCGAGGCACGGCCATGAGCACCCGTCACCTGGGGAGTGGATGGGTGACAAGCGCCGCTCCATAGCGGGAGGGCGTGGAGACCGGGCGCAGGCAGCACTGCGTGTGGGCCTTGGAAACAGTGTCCGGTCACATGCGGCTACGTGTTCCTGGGTCCCTCGTGCAGGAAGCCCCAGAAGACTCAAATCTCCTGGAGACGGAATGACAGCCAGGTTGGGGGGCGGGGCCTGGGTGTGGGAGGTGTGGGGCGACCACCGAGGTGGCGAGGGTACCCCGGCGAGGGTGGCGCAGCCCCGCTCTGAACGGGCTGAAGGGCGCGCAGCCCGGGCTCAGGCGCGGAGCGTAAGGAGGTCACGCAGGACGGCTGCCCTTCAAGCAGAGAAACGAACTGAAACAGGACGCCCCAAGCCCAGGGTGCACTGAGGCCGGGCCCCGAGCAGCCCCAGCCTCCGGGCAGGAGGGGCGTCGAACGCACGCTTCGGTCGGTCAGCAGCCCTAGCCTCTGACAACAAGGACCTGCCAGCTTAGCCGTCCTTTTTCCTCCCTGGGGGTAAAGGCGCTCGCATGGGCCGGGGCACCGCAGGAGCCCAGAGACCTGTGCTGGACTACAAACAGCTGGCAGAGAGGGCGGCCTCAGGCGTGGGCCTCTCACGGAGCCCGGCGGCCACACGGACCCTGCTGTCGGGGCAGCGGGGCGGAGAGGCCGGCACTCTGGCAGGGACTGTGCCCACTCGTGAGACGGCAGGCTCCCACAGGGCTGGGTGACGCCGAGGACCCGAGAGGGGAAGCCACAGAGTCTACAGAAACATCAGGGAGCGCCAGGGAGCAAGTGACGTGAGGAGGCAAAGGCAGGCTCCCAGGGGGGCAAGGGGAGGGCCGGGGGGCCAAGGGGAGGGCCGGGGGGCCGGGTGCGCGTGGGTGCAGAGCTGGGCGTGTCAGTGACGACAGGCGGGCCCTCAGTGGACCCCGCTGGGGCTGGCCCGTGACTCTCGCTGACGAGGCTCTTCAGCGTACAGCTTCCAACAACGCACACTTTTCCCAGAGTTCATGTCGGCTCAGCTGTCTCCCAGCTGCCAGTTCCAGACACCCAGGCAGAGACGTTCACACAGCTCAAGGCCACAAAGGTGCTGTGCTGTGCGAACCAGGGCGAGAAGTCTCCGCTTCCAGTCCCGACTGCCCCGCCCCACTGATTTTCATTCTCCCACGACTCAGGGTATTTGAAACTTTGCTCCCAAAAAGAGCTGTTAAAATGAAAGTCGGGTTAGAGACGAGAAATGAGGCACAGTTCCCACATGACGCCCACTCCCGCGTTCTCACCGGGCCGCCGCGCAAACGCAGAGCTGGCCAGCAGCAGGGCCGTGTTCACTTCCTCCGTGGAGGAGGCCCCGTGGCCCCCGTGCGCGGCCATGCCGTGGTCGCCGCAGAGGACCAGCAGGCTGGGCGAAGACGCCTCTCGCTCCTGAAAGGCGGAGGGAAAGTGTTTCAACCACGTTCGTGCTGGGAACACGTAGTCTTGTTCAGAAATCACCGCAGATTTTAGCTCTAAGCACAGCTGCTCTTTCTAGACTAGTTGTTTTTCCTTTTTACCTATGAGCCTGCAGTCAGGTCAAAGGGCCATGAGACAAGCCGAATCGCGTGGGGGTCACACAGCACAGGAGGCGCGGCCCGAGGGCCTCTCCGGCCCGGGACTTGGGCCCAGACCTCCAGGCCACCCCGGGCTGAGTGTGGGGGCGCCACTCTGAGCGCCCCTCGGGCCTCTCCTCGGTCCCACGCGGCTCCCTCCCTGCTCCAGCGGCTGCAGCCCCACTGCACCCTTCCTCTTGGCCTCGGGGAAGGCCATCCACCCCCTCCCTCCCAGCTTCTGCTCACCCCCCACGAGCCTGCTCTGACTGTGCTGCTGGAAATCACAGCCTCTCAGGGGCCGGCCCCCCTGCAGGGCCCAGCGCTCCCGTGGCCCCTCCGAGGGCACCTCTGCACACAGTCACTGGGCCTCGCGCTGGCCAGGAGCACAGGCTCCACAGAGACCCAGGCGGCGGGAGGCAGGAGGCGTTCGGGAGACGAGGCGAGAAGGGGAGCGGGGTAAGCGGTGATGGCGGAGACGGAGCCCGTGCCGGTGAGTCCCACGGGGCCGCTGGTGCTGCCCCGCGGCCAGGCGGCAGCTTCCGTCCTTCTAGGGAACGTGGGCACGGGGACACGCCCGCCCCACGACACACTGCAGGGCAGCTCACCTGGGACAGCAGCGCCGTGTGGACCCTCATCAGGACGCTGTCCATCTCGCTGAGCTTGTGCCCGATCAGTGGGCTGTGGGGCCCAGACACGTGGCCGATGTGGTCCAGCCCCAGGTAGTGGAGGATCAACACGTCCCAGTCCTCTCGTTTCAGTACTTTATCCAAATGCCTCGTAACGTTATCATCCACCTGAAAGCGGGAGGCGAGCAATGAGGACCCTCCAGTTTCCCTTCATCGTCACTCCCCAGGAAAGCACGGTGCGAGTGATCAGGTTTAGTTTAGGTGATAGGACTTGGGGGAGTTTGAAAAGACCAAGAAGAAATAAAAACTGCCATAAAAATTAAACAAACATTAGCATTAGATTAAGATGTCACTAATACCGTGTTTATGCCTCCAGATTATAGACAGAGTATCTTATACAGGTAATTTAAACGAGCAAGGTTTGTTCTACAAAAATTCTGTGGGGCCACTGCTGGGCCTTCACAGAGCGCGTGGCCAAGTCACACAGGCGCCAGGTCATTACGAGGAGACGAAGGGAGAAGGGCAGCGAGTGAAGACAGGACAGCGCCCAGAGGTCAAGCAACCCCAGGGAGGCCCTGGGTCTGTACGAGTGCCTGACCGGAAAACTGTCCTGGGTGGAGGGGGACGCGGGGCTCGGTGACAAGCTGTCACCCAGCCCAAAAGAGCCATCAGTCCCCTCAGCCGGGACCCTCGGCCAGCCACCCCCTCGCATGGAGAAGTCCACAACACGGAGAGGGTGTCCGCGTGGCCACGCACAGGACAGGGTGATTGGCCGCAGGGGCGATCGCTGGGCGTCTGCACAGGCCGCCGGGGGCGCGGGCATGAGCAGGCCTGCAGGAGGCTCCCCGGGTCCGGCCCACAGACAGGCGTGCTGTGCGAGACTGTCTGCCCCGCGCCAAGTCCAGACACGCGGGGGCCGCTGCCCCACAGGTCCCCCTCTGCACCCAGGCTCAGCTGTCCAACGCGGGCTGCAAGCCCAGCACGGGGCTCGTGCCCCGCCGCACCGGGCCCACCCTCTGCCCTCCCCATGCCATGCGCCTCCCACGTGCAGAAGGACTTGGGGGTCCTGGGCAGCCCGGGCCGTCCTCAGGCTCTGCCTTGGACGGGCGCTGCCTCCCCGTCCTCCTTGGAAGTCCCCACTCACCTGCAGGACTCGGCTTAACTGTCTCCTTGCTGGAAAGCCCTTCTGGATCCTTTACACGCGCCAGAGGGTGCGCAGCTGGTCTAGGCTGTGGGCTCCCGGGGACTGCGCTGACACTGGCCCCGGGGGGTCTGTCCCCGGGCTGTGACTGGCTGTGCACGAACCACGCTGGCAAGGTCTCTACACTACTCCCATCGCAGTAACAAAGCCGCTACAAACAACGCTCCCTCTCTACCTACAGTGACACAGGTTTCTTATTTTAAAAACTGACCTCTGTGTAATCTGACACAAAAAACGAGGTGGTTCCATCATATTCCACAAAATGCCTTGGGAATAATTTCACCCACGTCTCATCCCCGTAGAAGATGATCCTCCTCCCCGCGGCCCAGGCCTGCGTGATGACGTTGTCGTCCAGCAGCGCGGGGGAGTTCAGGTTCCTGACGACGTCGATGAAGCCGGGGAGGCTCCCCGTCACCAGGGCCTGCGGGAGGGAACGTCGCCATGAGCCCCGGGTTCAAGCAGGGGAAGGGGCTGCAGATCATGGTGCCGAAGGGAGACACAGCACCAGGCATAGATTGATGCAGGACAGGGGGAGCTATGCACTGGTTCTGGGCCAAACCAGAAAGCTCCGCCGTGAATACTTGACTGCAGCTCAGCCAAGGAGAAGGTGTGGGAGGAGGCCGTGGGCAGCCGGGCAACGGGGGCGGCCAGAGGAGAAGCTACGGGTTCCAAGAACCAAAGCAAGTGGCCAAGTGTGGGACCTGCTGAGACCACAAACCTGTCTGTCCTAGCCCACCGTCAGCTTCACATCTGCAGACTCCGTTTACCGATGGGAAAACCACAGGCTGTGACGCCCCCTCCCGAGTCCAGGAGCAGCCCTAACAGCCGCGGGAGGACGGCGGTTTCAGAGCGCGAACTCGCAGGGGTTCTCAGACTGAACTGGCCCATCGATGCTGGTCCCCTCCCCGCAGTCTGATGTGCGACCATGGTTTCTGGGAGGAGAGGTGGGCGCGACACCCCAACACCTCGCTGCCCAAGGCACAGGGCAGCAGCCTCCCTCGTGCAGCACAGAGTCTGAGAGGGCACAGCGACGGGTCACGGCCTCTGTGACCTGGCTTTTCCGACAACCCACTGCACTAGCGCCCAGGGCCCCACACGATGAAAATGGACAGGAACCCGGGTCACGCCAAAGATGCTATCGTTTTCCCAACACTCCTCGGACAACAAGCGCAAAGGTGAATTTACTGAACTTCTGGGATGCAAGCAAGAGGCTTGACAAGTCCTCTCTGCCAAGAGCAATAATAAAACTGGATAAAACTGTCCAAAACCACCATCTTGGGACTTTGAAAACTCATCAAGGATAGACAACCAACAAGCAATCGAGAAGCGCTTCCTCGAGACAAAGCCCCGAAGCCCCGGGAGCACGAGGAGCACCTGCGGTGGTTTAACCGGGCCGCTCCCCCCAAGCCCAGCTCTGAGCTACAGCAACCGAGGCCCCGGCGGGGCCCCTGCCTGGGAGGTAGCTCTGCAGACCAGCACCACGCCAAGGCGCGGAATCAACAGGAAGGCCAGGTCACAGTGGCCTGACGCCACATGCTGGTTGTGGTGAGAGATCAGCCCAACACTGAACAGGGCACCTGGGGAGCGAGACAGGTATTGTTGACCTGTATGAGCCCCCCTATTCCCGGGGCCCGAAAGGCTGCATGTCCACGCAGAGGACGCCGGGCAGGGCCTGGTTACCATCCTCTCCCTGCTCAGAGAGTGAGAGTCCGGACGGACGCACAAGTGCCCTGGCCCGTGAGCGTGTGGCCTGCCCCACACGGGACCCTGCCAACAGGGGAAGCCTCAGGCCCATGGTGTTTGCACACAGCCTCTGACCAACTGCCGGCCGAGGCTGCCCTGGGCGACCCCTGGAGAGGCCGCCCCAACGAGAACCCGAACGTGACCCGGCAGGGACATCAGCTGTTGTAGACGCGGGGAGACTCTCTGGACGCAGTTCAGGCAAATCAGCACCCACAGACAAAATGACAGCGAACGCAGCCCGCACGCGGGGGGGGGGCGGGGGGGCGGGACCGGAATCCCGGGGGGGCGGTGGGAGCGTGCGTGCACGTGTTACACCCCATCCCACTGCACAGAGACGCATGTGCCCGCCTGTACGGAAATCCCACCTCAACAGTCATTTCTCAAAAGGTGACCTTCTCTCTTACCCCCAAATTCTACTCACTGAAGATCACCAGTTACTTCTGGTGAGTACCTTTTCATACTTTCTTCTGTGTGCGTACGATCTCAAATACACAAAAATATATTTTTTTTTCACGAAAATGGTAACTAAATAATCCTGCAAGTTGGTTTTGCTTTCCAATTAATCACAGATCAGCTAGTTACACATAATACTTGAATGTACAATATACTTACATCCATGTTTGAATGTGCAATATATTTAACATATTTAACCAAGGCCCTGGCTGGTGTGGCTCAGTGGATTGAGTGCCGGCCTGAGAACCAAAGGGTCACCGGTTAGATTCCCAGTCAGGGCACAGGCCTGGGGTGCAGGACAGGTCTCCAGTGGGGGGCGTGTGAGAGGCAACCACACAGCAACGTTTCTCTCACACATCGATGTTTCTCTATCTCCCTCCCTCCTGCTCCTTCTAAAAATAAACGAAATCTCTAAAAAAAAAAAGACCATTTTAATGGATGTTTACTTTAGAAAGCTCCTCATGGGAGTGCCATTGGAGCTGAGACCTGAAAGCTGAAGTGTCCCCCAGGTGAGATGAGGTGGGGCCTTCCAGGGGACACTCAGTAAATGGCAGAGGGCCCACAGCAGAGGGGCTGGTACGCTGGGGACGGAGCTGTGTGTCGCTACCAAGGAGGGAGAGCAGCCCAGACGGAGGTGGAGAGGTGGGCAGGGCAGGCGCCCAGCCCTGAGCCTGGGTGGGGAGGCGCCGTGCAGGCCAATGGCGAACCCCCTGGGCTGGACAAGGGCAGCAGCTGGGCCCAGTGATCCCCGCAGTCTGAAGGCACCTGTTCACCTCATTTCTGGCGAAGAGGAGGTTATCATCAATCTTTACATTTTTACAAGGTGATAGGCAAAATCTGGCCTTATAGATGGTTTTAGTTTGCCTTGCTATGATCACTAATAAAACTAAGAATCTTTCCCCATGTTTACTGGTCATTTCAATTTCTTCCCTTGTGGATTTCTTCAAATCCTTTGTCCAGATGCCACTGGACTGCTGTGTCTGATCGGACCCTGCTTACATCTCATGGGCTTAGCATCTTGTTTTTTGTGTCAACTGTAAGTAATTTTTCCAGTTGATCGTTTGTCAGTTGACTTTGTTTAAAATGTGTGTTTTCATGTAGCCAAATCTGTCCATCACTCGTTGGGGGCTTTTTCAAGGTGCTCCCCTCTTTCTTGCACTAGCTGGGGTTCCCACGGCCCTTTGAGGAGGGCGGGGACAATGTGGCACTGGCTTTGCCCAGGGGAGCCGTTGCGTCACAGCCGGGGGCCACGGAGTGTGAGAGCTCAAGTCTGTCCTCTCCGTGGGGATTCCCTGCGGCTCCTGTGGCCTTGGGGATGGTAGATTTTTGCCTTCGAGAGTGAGGAGGGCTCTGCAGAGACAACTGGGAAAGGATGCATTCTGGATCCCCTCTTCTTCCGCGTGACACGGTGTGACCAACAGAGACTCTGGAATCAGACAGAGCCGTATACTGCAGTTCCCGATTCCAGCAGTGTGGTTTTGGCACTTCAAGCCTGTTTTCTCATCTGGAAAACGGCCTCTACTTGTCCAACAAGTAGTTCTGGAGTCAATCAATAGAGCTTTAGTCTTGTCTTTACGCATAGTTCCTGCGTAGAGCACTGTCACTTCAATGTCACGTTCACCAGGCTCCACACCGGAAGGTACCTCCCAGAGCAGGGACAGTGAGAACTGCTCCGGCCCATTCATGCTGGACTGGCCACTGTGCCTGCTGCAAGGCTGGACAAGCCTGAGTTTCCTCCCTCACCTGCAAAGTCAGGAGATTGAACCAGGTGACCCCAGGGTTGTAAGGACCTAATGTCAATGAAAGAAAAGAGCAGGGGAGGAGGACGGCACCTCTGGGACGAGGCTGGCCCGGACGACCGGGCGCTAAATCCTTTGTGCTTCCCAGGAAGCGTGGGCTCTGGCTACCGGAAAAAGGGCGCACGTCATGGGTCTCAGCTCCAGCTCACCTGTCAGGCTTCTGCACACTCTCCTGCCCCAGCCAGGTTGACGGCACCAAACAGTTAAAATCTGGACAAGGAAAAGACTACAGAGAGCCCCCCTCTAAACCTTTTGAAGAGCCAAACCATGACTACAAAACATTAGGTCAAACTGTTTACCTTGATTCGAGGCATAGTAACTGTAGGTGGCTTTGCTACAGCCACAAAACTGTGAGACGCTCCTTTTTCCACGAGGTAAGTTGTATAGGGCATGAACTTCACCCCATTTGACCCAAACACAAAATCGTCTCTCAAGCCGTCTATCAGCATAACAACAACTTTACTGAAGAGAGGTGGTGGGCGGCTGGTCCAATTGGAAGTGGCTCCTGAAAGTGTTTGAAAGAAGGAAACGAGATTTTAAACTTTATTTGGCATTCAATCACCTATAACCTAGTTTCTGCCTACTTCTCTGGTGCATATCCTGTCCTATCCACATGTATCAACCCAAAGAAAAAGGCTCACAGTGCGGGCGAGGGGGTCACTCCCAGGAAGCTCACGGAGCCCCGGTATTAAGTCGCGAATAGCCCTTAGCGTGGGGCGGAGTCTGGGACCCGGGAGTCTCTTCCTGAGGGCCCTGGACTGGAAAATCTAGCGAGCATGACCTGAAAACACAGTGCCTCACTGAGCGGAAGGGCAAGCATTTACAAACTGTGCGCACGTGGTCAGGGGCCCGTGTTGCCCAAAACAGGAGCCAGGCAGGAACCATGCCTCTGCCTGGGAAGGGTCGCTTGCGAGGCGGTCTTCCCTGCGGGTTAAAAAATCTTGGAGGAACGTAAAACAAAACAAAACACCGAAACCCAAGACTCTTTATCTTTTGTGACTCACTGAGCAAAAGAAGTTGCCAGGAAGGGAGTGGCTCAAAGCCTGCTCGGGACAGAGGTGCGGGCGTCCCGGCCTGAGTGGGAGAGGCGCGGGGGCCTAGCCGCGCCTCTCCCGCTCACGCTTTTCGGGAACCAGGGAGGAGGGTCGCAGTGGGGTTGATAGTGGCGGTTGCCAAGTGGTAGGAAAAAGAGGCGGGAGCTGTAAGAAGAGGGGTCCTGGTACGGGGACCAGGATGGAAGAGGAGCCCGGGAAGCGCCCGAGAGCAGCGGCCCAGGGAGCGGGACGCCGGGTAGGGGTCTGTACCTGCCGAGGGCTCGGGCGCCGGGGGCTCCGCAAGGTGCTCGGTCCCGGCAGAGGAGCGCACAGGAGGCGGGAAGAACCCCCGAAGGAAGAGCGCGACCCCGAGCACCTCGATCACTACGCAGCCTGCGGCGAAGGTCCCGGAGCCCAGCCGCATCGCGCCCTCGCGCCGGGCGGGGACCCGGCTCCCGGAGCCCAGGCAGAGTCGCCCGGCGGCAGCGGCCTCGGGCTGCAGGGAACAGCCTCTGAACAAATGCCAGGTGCCGGTCCCCCTGGCGTCACGGCAGCCGGCGCACCGGAAGTACGCGCTAATGGGGCGGGCGCCTTTGGCTCCGAGCGCCCCAGAGAGCGGAAGCCCCGCCTACTTCCGGCGCGCGGGCCTAATTCCCACACGGACTCCGCCCACCGTGAATATCCGACTGTGAAGTTCCTCGGGGAAAGCCAATAGACCGTGAGCGCGGAAGGACACCGTTCCCGTTTTCTAGGTCTTTACTGACTTCCAGTCCATCTAAAACCTGGTGCTGTTTCTTCAAAACGAAATCCTCGTGGAAGTGCAGTTGGCTTGAGCATTTCGGGGAGGCTGTGGTGGCTGCCATGTCAAGACCCTTCACGATCGCTGACTTCCCCCCCACTCCCGGTGAAGCTGCCCGTCACCCCCGGGGGCACGTTCCGGCGGCCGGTCCCTGAGGTCCAGCGCCACCCGGGGGTCTCAGGGAGGGTCCCCGCTGCAGGATTTGGGGAGCTGTTTCTCAGAAAAGCCTGGAGCAGCGCGTTTCTGTCCTGGCCACAGGAGCTGCCCGCGGGCAGGCCCGGCCCCAGGGAAGGCGCGCGCGCGCAGCTCCAGCGCCTCCCGCAGGTCCCGTGCGGAGTCCCCCGCGTCCGCTGCCGGCGCCCCGCAGAGACCGCCCTCCGGGGGCTGGGCCCGCCCGGCCGTCTCTCCAGAAAGCACCGCGACGACCGCTCCCGGGCGTTTTCAGGATTTCCTGATCCCGAGCGGACGCGCTCTGAACGCAGTTTCCCAGGAAACCTGGGGCCCGAAGGAGGTAACTGAGGTTAAACTGGGTCCTCAGGGTGGGTCCCTCACGCAGACGCCGAGACGGGGTCATGGCCGTGTGGTCTTCCACGAAGGTCCCTGGGCGCGCAGTCTGGCGGCGGCGGGCCGCGGGCCGAGACAGAGCCTTCGGCGCGCGCTCCGCCTGGGCGGCACTGCGGCGCCGCGGCCTCCGGAGCAGCGCGGGGCGGGCGTCCGCGCGAGGCTGCCCGGCCCGGCGCGTGACCACGGGAGCCGAGGGGGCCACGACCCGGAGAGCGGGGCGCGGCGGCCCCGTAAGTGCGCGGACGAGCCGTTCACGGCGGCCACGAGGCAGCAGCGGCCCAAACGTCCGTCAGGAGGAAACGGACAAGCCGATTGGGTATAAACACAGCGGGTCTTTATTCGGCCATAAAAAGGAATGAAGTACATGCTCCATGGATAAAGCTGGACGACCGGACGCCGAGTCACAGACACACGGCCGGGGACGTGTCGCATCATCCGATTTCCGTGCCACGTCCAGGACGGGTGAGCCCGGAGCCAGGGTGCCGCTCGCACCCGCCGCGGCTGCAGCCCGGGGCCGCTCGGTGCGTGAGGGGCTTCCGGCAGGTGGCGGGAAGCGCTGGAACAGCGGCAGCGGTCGCCCGACACCGGGACTGCGGGACGCTGTACGCGGGCCGCTTTAGAACGGCTTGCGGCTCACGGTCCAGGGTCGGTCCGGGCGGGGGAGCCGCACGGAGCGGGGTCTGAGCCGCGTCGAGGTGGGGCCGCGGCTGCGGCCTCCGCCCTCGGCCTCCCGCTTGAGCCCTTTCCGTCGCCCGTGGGAGGGCGCGCCCTGCCGCCCCGGTGCGGCCGCCCCGCGGGGACGCGCCCGGGACGCGGCGCGAGCACGAACTGCGCCCTCGGCTCTGCCTCTGGGGACCCCGATGCGGGACGGCCCGTGACACCGAGGCTGTGGTGCGTGTCAGGGTGTTGAGTCTCCCCTCAGGAGGCCGTTACACTCGACTAACATAAAAATACCTGTTATCTGTGGTAACTCGGGGAGGGGGTGCATGTGTGGTTTTTAAAGCCACCTCAACGGCGTGACACATTCTGGGCAATCCCTGGTCAGGCTTAATGTCTGACAATGAGATCGGAAGCACCATCGTTTAAAGAGCAACAAGTCTGTTCTCGGATCCCAAAATTCGTTCTTCCCGAACCGCTGGATGAGGAATGGCTTTTGGAGCGGCCCCCGGCGGCGCGGCCCCCCCGCACGCGGTGGAGGAGGTTCTTCGTGCGTTTGCCCGGTGACCTGCAGACCCACGAGACGCGCGTGCGCGCAGTGTTTACACAATTCCACCTTTACTGTAAAAACACAAACAAGGCAAACAGTGGAAATGACAGGCAGGACGATCAGTAAAACCCTCGAGCGCGCGGGCAGCGGGGACGCGGAGGCGGCTGCGCCCAGGCCGGCGCTCGGGCTCCGAAGGCGGCGCTGCCGCGGCGCCTGGGTTTTTCAACGGGCCCTTCTCACGGGGTCTCGGCATCTGAAATGGCGGCCGCCCTGCGGAGGCCGCGCGGATCCCGGACGCCGCCCGGCGCTGATGTCTGCGCATCAGGGGTGGCACACGGGCCACCTGCTCCCCGGACTGGGACCGCACACCTGTGCCCGAGACTGTGGCCATGCCCCCCTGTTCTGGCTGCGCCTCGACGAGCCCCTGAAACACCTGGGAAGGAACAGCTGTCTTCTCAAAACCGGCTTTAAAAAGGCTGGTCGGCCCTGGCCGGTGCGGCCCAGGGGACTGAGCGCTGGCCTGTGAACCGATGGTCGCGGGTTCGATTCCCGTCAGGGCCCGGGTCTGGGCCCCAGTAGAGGGTGTGCTAAAGGCAACCACACGCTGATGTATCCCTTCTCCTTCTCCCCCACTTCCCCACTCTCTAAAAATAAATGAATCAAATCTTAAAAAAATGAAAGCTGGCCAGGAAACAAAGTGGAAACAGGCAGAGCCTCCCCATCCCGCAGTGACGGGACAGGGCGTGGACAGGCAGCACCTGGCCTGCGCGCCGCTGCAGGGGACTGCGCGGGAGCCGCCTTCCCTTTCATCTGAGACACACCGAGCCCACCCCGAGCTCTTCACGGGCGGGGGGCGGGGGGGGCACGCCCCCTCTTTCTGCCTCAGGGCCTGCTGCGGACCCCCCTGTGCCAAGGGCGCTTGCTGGGGCTGGTGCATCCCTGGACCCACGCACAGGAGGGGCCACGGCAGGAGGATTGGGTGGGGTGTCCTGGGTGAGCGGCAGGGCTGCAGGGGGGGCGGCCTTCTGGGCTCAGGAGTGAGCCGGGCTGTCGAGGCGGCCACGCTGCTCTTGCTCTTGGTCTGGCTGGTCCTCCTCCTTCGGCTCCAAATCAAAGTTCTGTGGACAAGGCTGCGGGTGAGGCCTGGCCCTGCACCTGCCCACCTGCATATCCCCTCTGGGGGCGGGGCGCCTGCCCGCAGGAGCTGCTGGACCGGCCTCTGTTCTGCAGCCTCAGAAGAGAAGCCATTTCTGGGTCCCTCCTGGTAGCGGGGCGGACCTACCTCGAGCTCCTGCAGAACCTCGTCCATGAAGTCCCGGGAGTTCTGTTTGTAAGACACAGCCAGTCGGATCGCATCATTGAAGAGCTGGGGTGAGGGGGGCAGAGGAACCGCGCCTGTGGGTCCCGGGCCTGGGCCCGGCCTGCTGTGGGCCCGCGGGTGCTGTCCCACGTCCACGCAACGCTGCCTCCCGCACCATCAGCGCGGCTGCCCCGCAGTGCACCTTCTTCCCAGCACCCTGGCTCCGCCCGGGGCCCGGGGCCCACCAGCCCCTCTGTCAATAGTGACAGCGACCCCGCCTGTCACAGGCCCCGCCACAGCCCGTGCTTGCAGGGGCAGCCTGGTCCCTGCGTCGTGCAGCCGACCTTGCCGGCCACGTCTGCCGCCATCACTACCTTCACGACGTTGGTGCCGTCAGCAGCTGAGACGAAGTACAGGGGCAGCGAGAACTTCCTGGCAAAGTTGAAGCTTTTCTGGGTCATCTTCATGTCGGCTGCGGGGGAAGGCAGGGCACCAGGCTGCCCGTCAAGGGAGACGGGCCGGCGGGCGGGTCATGGCCCCTGTCCAGAGAGCGGGCTCTTTCTCGGGAGGGAGGTGACAGCATGTGACTGAGGGCTGCGTCTCGGAAAGGAGGATGAAGGTTTGGGGCCCCTGAAAACAGGAGGATGAGTGTGGTGGGCCCCCCAGGAACTGCGGACACCAGAGGCAGGGGCGGCCCCACCGTCGATTTTATTGGCCACCACGATGCAGGGGATCTCCGGCCGGAACTCCCGCAGCTCCGCGTACCACGTGCTCAGGTTCTTGTAGGTGACCTTCCTCTGCACATCGAACACCTGCGATGAGCAGAGGGAGACAGCTCAGGGGGATGACGGGCCCCACACGCAGCCAGGTGAGTTGTCCCCACAGGCTGGTGGGCGTGGGAGCACGTCGCAGGCTTGGGCTCCGAGGGGCAGCCCCCACCCCGACCACAGGGGCGGCGCCTGTGCCCGCCCTTCTCAAGAACCTCCAGTCCCGGGACCCCCGTCCCAAGAGGTGTTTCCGAAGTTTGCTTCCCCGGTCACCTAATTTTATTTACCTGTTTTAACCAAGTTGTATCTTACTAATTGTTAAAATTGTAAACTTTTCCCCTTAGTCTACTGTTTTTATCACTAAAACTTTTAAAATTCCTTTGTAATAATTTTGAATGTTTCCAGATTTTACCTTGAGTTACTATTTACTTTTAATTCTAAGCTTTTGTTTAATCTTCTGTCCAGTTTGTATTTTAAACTTTTTAGAGGTAATTTTATATTTTATGATTTTGCAGCTTATCATTTTTTAAGTTTTTGAAGTGTAGTTTTTTCCTGCTTTGGGACTGCCGGGGGCTGGCCCCGTGCAGCAGGCTGGGGTGCCCGCAGCCCAGGAGGGGTCCGAGAGGACCCCCGAGACGCGTCAGAGGCAGGAGCAGGTCGCTCCCCGAGGGAGGAGAGGTGTGCGCAGAGCCGACAGGGATGGCGGGGACCCCGGTCCGGGCTCTCACGTGCCCCCAACATTGGCAGCGCCAGCCTTCAAGCGTGGCTTGTGGCACGACCCTCACTGCCATACTGTCACCCTCTTTGGTTCTGTCCCCTTACAGGTACCAGTTAAAAGTTTGGAAAATGTCAGGGGCTTTTGTGCTTAAGGGACAGCAGGGCCTGAGAACGGAGCCCGGGAGCTCAGGGGCAGGCCCTGAAGGACGCAGGCGACACGAATCTCCTCCCCCGTCCTGGCTCTGCCACGGCTGCGTCTCATGCCGTCGTGACAGCAGCAGCCCGGCTGCGGGGTGCACCGCGGGCGCCCGTGTCCTAGACACCAAGGTGAAGGCTGCGGTGGGGAGAAGGGGCTGGTTCGGGAAGGAAAGTCCCGTGAGAACCGCAGGGTCCCCTCAGCCCCAGCGTCTGTCCCTCGCCAGCAGCACCAGGGGGGCGGTCGGGGAGGCCTCGGGGGCCCCTCCGTACCGCTGGGCCCCTTGTCCCCGCACCCTCAGGCCGGACTTGCCCGGAGCCCCTGCCGCCTGCAGCTGGTGTCGTACCATGAGGCAGGCGTGGGCCTTGTGGTAGTAGGAGGCGTGCATGCTCTGGAACCGCCCCTGGCCCGCCGTGTCCCAGAAGTCTGCAACGGGACAGAGCTCTGACGGCCCGATGGGGGCTGGAGGGCGGAGAGAGGCCGTGCGCCTCCACGCGGTCTCTGTGCAGAGCCGCGGGACAGGGGGACCCCGCAGCGCGTGGATGCGTGTGGTCAGGACCCGGGGAGCCTGCGTGTGCCCCCGGGAGGCTGGGAAACGGCTGTGTGCGCGTGAGTGGGAGAGAGGGGACACGGGGCCAGGAGGGCGGGGAACGCAGACAGGACGCCCAACAGGGAGAAGGCAGGCGCCCTCCTGGCTCCATCCCACGGGACGCAGGGCCCTCCAAGGCCAAAACCAGGCCGGCGCCCCGTGTGGTGCCGACGGCCAGGCAGGACGTGAGGCCTGGCCAGGGCAAGGCTGTCCACTCACCGGCAGTTGGAACCCTTTGTGGGCGAGGATATTCAGACCACGCCTGCTGCTGTGGACACCGGCTGACTCGGAGCCCCCGGCCAGATCCCCATGCTCCTGCCCCACCAGGCCTGCGGGCCCCCAGCGTCTCCCCGCCCCCTCCCCCAGCCCGAGCGTCAGGGGAACCAGCCTGAGCTGCTCACCCACAAGCACCGTCCTGCCGTCCACCGTGGCCGTGTGCTTGTAGAGGGTCAGGGCGTAGGTGGACAGCTGCTGGGGCCGACTGCCACCGGGTTAAGGAGCGAAGATGAACAGAAAGGGCGGGGGCGGGGGCGGGGGCGGTGCTGGCGTGCCAGAATGGGCCCTTTCTCTCCTTTCCTCTTTGGTGTCACTTAGATTTTAGACTGGACGGGTGTTGGACCAGAGGGCCGGCCTCCGATATTGCTGGCACCAGCTCCGTGGACAGCGAGGGGCAGGAGAGGCTAGAGTGTGTCCTGCCATCCGGGTCCAGCGGCCCTTGGAGCAGAGTGTCACAGACCGGCTGTCGTCAACGCCATCATGTGGTTGGAAAAGGCAACTTTAACTGGACGAGCACTCCCGGGAAGGAAGCCTCCATGTGCCAGGCAGCTGACCGGCTGTGACCTGCTGTCTGCCTGCGCGTGAGGCTCCGACAGGACACCTGAGGCTGCCGGGCGCGGGGCGGTGGACCCTGCAAGGCTGGGACCCGTGGGTCGGTGTAGGGGGAGATGCGGGCAGGTGAGGCGGGACATCTCAGGCTCCCCGGGGCTCTGGGCCTCCTCTCGCCTGAGGAGTTCTGCCTGGGCAGCTTGGTAAAGCCCCCAGCACCGGGCGGGTCCCCCTCCACACCTGCACGTGGCCATTCGTGGGAAGTGGGGCAGGCAGCCCGTATTTTATGAGGTCCGTTCCCACCAGAGGGTTTTTGAATATTTGGGAGCCCGAGCTTTGTGGTCAGAGAGGTGATCTGCAGGAGAACCCAGGCACCTGACCAGGTTCTGCGGCCACTCTGGCAAATCCTCCTGACGGGAAGCAAATCCGACACGAGTGAGCCCCCAACACGCAGCACCGAGCACGCGTGGTGCCACGCGGGGCGGGGAGAGGCCCGTGGGAGCCAGGCCGGGGCACCCTCCCACCCGTCCCTCATCGCTGGGCCTGGGGCGGAGGGGCGGGCAGTGGGGCGGGGAGGTGGGCGGGACACAGCCGTCCTTGAAGGATACAACCCGTCCATGAGGAACCTGTCCATGAGCCTGCGGGAGGGCGAGCAGGGCGGTCAGGCGCAGCCCCCAGGTCCCCGTCCCCTGCACCCCCATTCATTCCACAACCACGCAGGGCCCCCCTCCACAACCGCCCCGAGGGCCCTGGCTCCTCAGCAGCCAGTCACCAGCATCGGCCAAAGAACGAATGGCCATCGTCTGCGCTCTGCTGTGTGTCCACATGGAGACCCGTGGGAACTGACACACTCGATGTCAGCTGAGACCCCAGCGCTCAGACGCGGTGAGTGCATGCGGTGCGGCTTCTCGGTCAAATAGCATGATATTCAAAGCGTCCAACTTCCAGCAGAAAATCACTCCTCATACCAAGAACCAGGAAACGCTCCAACAGAATGCGAGGCCCTGGCTGCTGTAGCTCAGAACCAGAGGGTCACCGGTTCGATTCCCAGTCGGGGCACACGCCTGGGCTGCAGGCCAGGTCTCCAGCTGGGGGCGTGTGAGAGGCGACCGATCGATATTTCTCTTGCATATCCATGCTTCTCTCCTTTCTCCCTCCCTTCCCCTCTCTCTAAAAATAATGAAATCTTTTCCTAATAAAGGATGCAAAACGACAACCCGCAGGCGCCAACGCCGAGCAGATCCAGATGTGCGCCATCTGGCAAGGCCACTAGAGCAGCTTCCTAAAAACGCGCCACTGGGCACGGGCAGATGTGCTTGAAGGAAATGGAAGTATACAGTCTCCACAATGGACTATTTTTCAGCACAGAAATAAGGACCCAGTGCTGATAGGAAAAATTAATGTTGTTAAAACATCCGTATCGCCCAAAGCAATCCAAAGATTTAGTGCAATTCCAATGAAAATACCAATGGCATTTTTCACAGAACTAGGACAAATGATCCTAAAATACATATGGACCCACGAGAGACCCCCAGTGGCCACAGCAGCCTAGGGAAAGAGCAAAGTTGGAGGTATCGTGCTCCCTAATACCAAACAAGTCATTTCCACGAAAACAGCCTGGTACCGGCGTGAAAACACACACAGACCAATGAACAGAACAGGGGGCCTGGAAATGAGCCCTCGCCGAAGGGGCCAACCAGTCCGTGACAACGGAGGCAAGAACAACAATGGGGTGAAGACAGTCGCTTCCATAAATGGTGTCGGGAAAACTGGACCCATGCATGGAAAAAAAAGGAGCAGACCCCTTTCTTATACCACATACAAACTACAAATGGACTAAAAACTTACTGTAAAACCTAAAACTACCAACTCCTATAAGAAAACGGAGGCAGCAAACTGACATTGCTCTTCGTTTTTTGTTTTCCTGTCTCCTTGGGCAAGGGCAGCAGCAGCAGCAAACAAACGGCACCACTTCAGACTCCGCCGGGGGTGCCCCGGGTGCTGGGGCGCGGGTTCGCGGAGGCGGCCGGAGGCCAGCAAGGCCTCAGGCTGGGGTGCCCGACCGGCGGCCGCATGCGGCCCGGCCCAAAATCGTACGTTCACTGAAAACAGTATGAGACTGTTCTGTGACTGTGTGTCACGATGCATTTAATGCGTAGCCCAAGACAACTCTTCTTCTTCCAGTGTGGCCCCGAGACGCCACAGGCTGGACAGCCCTGCCTCAGAGTCATTCACAGCCCCCCGAGTCCAGGACATGTTGGTGGAAGATGAAGGTGGAAACCGGCGTGGTTCTGGAGCCCCGGGAGCTGAGGCCACACCGGACACCCGACGGCGGTGAGTCCACCCTCGTCCTTTGAGGGCATGTGCCCCCCGAGCCCAGCGCAGGTGCAGCAGGGCCCAGCCCCGCAGGCGCGCGGCCAGCACTGCAGGCCCCCTCCACTCCCCTCTCCGCCTGGGGGCTCCGCGCCGGCGCACGCAGGCACGGACGTCAGTGGAAAGAATAAACCGGTCTTTACGTTGAGTGTCATCAGTCTTCATTTTTATTGCCTTTCCTCAATCTCAGCGAGTCCCTCTAGGAAAAGGCATTTTTACCACCTTTACGCAACCTGCCACGGGTTGTGCTGGTCACGCCTGTCACACGTTCCTACAGTGTCCCCACTGCCTCCACCTTCAGTGTCTCAGTTCACACCACCCAGAGGTCTCGGCTCCCCACCCTGGCCTCCTGCAGCGGCCGCCAGGGCGCGCACGGGTGTGGACGGGGTCCCCTGCTCTCCCACCGGTTCCCCGGGGCTGCCCGTGCTCCCGCCACGGCTGCGCTCAGGGCTCCCACAGCTCCCGCGGCTCCGTGCTCCTCGCCCCCGGAGGACTTGGCTAACAGGACCCACTGAGGGTCCGGTCCTTCCTCCCACTCTCCCAACCTACTTGGACTTGCCCACAGCGCTGTCCCCCAGGCAGATGATCTTCACGTTGTCGTCAGCATCATATTTCTCCTGGTCCAGCTCACAGGGTTTGGCTTTGTCCCCAGCCATCAGCCCCTGGGTCCGCTCGGGGGAGGGGCTCTTGTCTGTATGGACAGGGCGGCAGGGGAGTGGATGAGAGGGGCCCAAGGCCACACGCACGTCCTTCTCTAGTTGCCACCACCCGGCTGCCACCTGCCGAACCGCGGGCGGTAATCTCGTCCCCACCAAGGTCCTCTCTGGCGGCTTCCGCTGTCGCCTCCATCCCCAGCCACGTGCGGCGCCACCGTGCCCGCTGCCACAGGGAGAGACCGTACAAGCTTTACCACAAAAGCTTTCTCACTTGTAAAACAGGAACACACTACAGTGGCTGTGTCGTACGATCGATGTGAGACACCGTCTGGCAAAGGCAGAGCTCTGGAATCCTGACTGTCACCGCTGAATGACAATGACAGTCCCTACCGGGGCCTCTGGATCCTGCCTCCTGCCCCGCACCCCCTTCCATTTCCCATCCAGTCAGCAGCTGCCCCGTCCCCTCTCGACGGCATCCTCACACCCATTTCTAGGGTTTCTCAACCTCGACTAGTTTCACCTGCCTCCTGAATGCCGAAGGCAAACCGGCGCCCCCGCTAGGACCGCTTCTCTCGGGGCCACACTCGGGTGCACAACTGCCGACCAGAGCTGCGCTGGGTCTGCGCCGGAGGCACACACCGCGCGCGAGCCGCAGACCCCGTCGTCCTGCGCGCGGACCAGGCAACACCCCGCTGCTCTCGCCGCGGTCCCTCTGCAAACGGTGCCGCGCACGGGCCGTCTCCGACGGGCACTGGCTGCGCCGGCAAGACTCGCGCGCGTCCGGGGACCAGAGACCCGGAGGCGGCAGCGTCTGTGCGGCTGCGCCCGAGAAGGGTCTGCGCACCGGCCGCGTCTGCGGGACAGCGCCCCGCGGGGCTCTCGCCTGCGCTCGGCAGTGGCTCCGCCTGCCTAACCCGGGCGCCCCTGGCCTCGCCCGCGCAGACCCCCGGCAGCCGAACGCGGCGCGAGCCTCGGACCCCGGCAGTGGTTGGTCTCCGGTCTCGCGACCCGCCGGCAACTCCTCCCTCCAACAAATCCTCGGGGGCAGCCACGAAGCCTGAGGACCGCGGCCCCGTCCGCTACGCGCCGCCCTCCGTCCCGCCACCTCGGCGGCTGCATCCTCCCGGGCGGAGCCGCGCGCCGCCCCGGGCCCCGCACCTGCTGGTACCCGTCTAGGCGGCCCCGCGAGACTCACGCAGCGACGCACTCTGCTCCCAACTCAGCCGCGTCGCGCCGCTGCTACGCAACCGCGCAAGGACCCCGACGCGGGCTGCCCGGCCGAAGGCCTAAAGGACCCCGCGAGGCGTGGCTGGCGCGGTGCCGGCGGGACGACCGCCGGGGGGACGCGGGGAGGACGCGGGGGCCGGCAGGCCTAAGGCCCCGAGAGGGCGGCGGGGCGGGCCGGGACTGAGCCCGGCCGCGGGCCTCGTGGGGTGGCGGCATAGCGGGCCTCGGAAGTGGGGGGATCCCAGGTGATGGGGCGGGACTCCAGTGACGGGGCACAGGACTGGCGATTTCTAAAGTTTGCAGTTTTCTTGACGGGGTGAATTTGAGCTAATCTCTCCACCCCTCGACGTCTGTGTTAACCAAGAATCGGGACAGCCGCGACCGAGCCAGAATCAGCAGGGGGCCCAGCGCTCCCGCGGCCCGGCCCGCGGCGCCCCTCGGGCCCGGGTGCGCACCTGCGCCGAGCAGGCGGGTGCCAGGCCGCCGGCGCTCCCAGGGCCCGCGGCGGCAGCCGAGAGCAGAGCGAGCTGCCCGCTGGGAGTGGAGCGGTCGGTGGGGCCGGCAAGTGCGAACCGGATCCGGCGCTAATAGCGTTGCGGGGCGGGGCGGGGCGTGGGAGGGGGCAGTATTTGAAGAGACAATAATGAGATTTCCACTCAAAGGATAAACAAAACCGTCTGACCGCAGGCAGAAAAATGACAGCACATTTACACAGACCACAATAAGTCGGGTGAACTCCAAAACAAGTGAGAAGCTATTGAACACAGCGAGACAGAGGTAATTATTAAACGAGCCAAACCAACGTTGGCAGCTGTCTCGCTGGTGTGAGCAGCGACGACAGGACCCCAGGAGGTGCGGTCTTTGAGGCCCTGAGACCCGCTAACGGGGACTCCGCGGAACAACGCCAGCCGAGGAGGCGGAGGTGCCGCTGGGACCGGGTGCCCGGCGGTCTGGGCGCAGCCGGTCTGCTGTGGCTGCGGCAAGTCCGACCCAGGCAGGGGGGCGGTGGGGTCCGGTTCAGCGGAAAGGGCTGAGTTCGGGCTCCTGTCAGGACTGGGTTTAGGGTTGGGGCCAATGAGTCGCTACAGGACACAAGGTGTAGGACTGGACTTAGGCTCCGTTTCAGAGGTGAGACGTACAGGTCACAGGTTACGATTCTGAGGTCAGAACCTGGTGTCTGTGGTCACGGTAACGGAATAGGTGACTGACGGCCAGTGGTTAAGTTCAGGGTTAGGGTTAGGTTTTAATTTAGGGTTAGGGAGTCTGAGGTCAGCGTTAGCGCTAGGGCTGGGGGCCAGGGGGCGAGGGGATGGAGTTCGGGTTTGGGTTCAGGGGTTAGGGTAAGGATCGGGGCAGGGGTCAAGATTGGGTTCAAGGGTCAGGGTCCGGGTTAAGGTCAAAGCCAGGGATTTAGAGTTAGGGGTAGGGTTAGGGTCCTTAGGGAGGTGCGAGGAAAGGTGAGGAGAAGTGAGTGCCTTGAGGACAGATGCATGGGGGGGAGCTGCCTCAGCCCATCGAGGGGCTGGATGTGGGCGGTGGGACCTGAACTCCCGCCCGAACCCAGTGACCACCCTCTGGGATGTGTCTCTCCCAGGCCCCCGAGGCCACCAGACCCTGGTCAGGTGAGGGCCTCGTGCCAGTGCCACCATGTTTGGCATTTGTGCACGTGGTCGCTCCCAGAAGAGCTTCAGTTCCAGAAAAGTCTCACGTACACAAAACCCCCAGTGTCAGCACGAAGTGCCCTTTCCCCATCTATTGGTCCCCACTGTCCCGAGTGGCCACATGTGCCCTGCACACGAGGGCTCAGGGCGGTGCGCCCCGCACGGGCACTTCCACAGAGGGTGGCGCAGGCCCCAGCGAGGAGGGCAGGGCGGCCTCAGCATCACCCCCGGCCCTCAGGGCCCCTCGCCTTCCACGCCTGCCCCCGGGGTGTGAAGTGCTGCTGCTCCAGCCTGGCCCAGCCGCCCAGGAACCGTTCCTGAGGTCCGTCGCCCTCCTCGCACCATGAAGGATTCATCGGGGGCAGACGACCCCAACCTGAGCCCGCCCACCGCGTCCTGTGCGTACCAGGTGCTGCGTTCCGGCGGGGTCACCTGGCCCGATGCTGTGAGTCCCGGGGCCTCCCACACGGACGAGCCCCTGCATTCGCAGGGGGCCACCGCCTAGTTCCAGAACCGTCTCTCCACCCCGTGGGGAACCCCTGCCTCTCACTGCCACTGCTCCTTCCCCTCTCCGAGCCCCTGGCAACTGCTAACGCACTTTGGGTCTGCGTGGATCGGCCCCTTCTGGTCCCTTTATGTAAATGGAACCACACACTGTGCGGGTGTCCTTCTGCGATCGGCTCCTGTCGCCAAGCACCGGGCCTTTGGGGGCCTCCTCCTCGTAGCGCTGCCAGAGCCTCGCTGCTTTCACAGCGGAGGAACGTGCAGGGCGTGTCTGGACCGCCTCTCGCCTGCCCGCCTCCATCAGCGGACACTTGGGTTTGCTGGGCTGTGCTGCCGTGAACAGGGGCGCGCAGACCTCTCATTCTGTGGGGCGCAGAGCTCTCATTCTGTGGGGCGCAGAGCTCTCATTCTGTGGGGCGTGTGCCCAGAAGCGGATTTGCGGGATCACGTGGTAACTTGATATTTAATGTCTGATGAGCCACGGCGTTTTATACAGCAGCCCGCGATTTCACATTCACTTCCCTTTCTATGGCTGAACAGCGCTGTGCCCTGTGGCGCACACATGCCGCGGGTTCACGCCTCTGCGGGCGGGCGCCTCGTCCGCGTCCACCTTTTTGGTTTGTGAATAATGTTGCTGCCAACATTCGTGAACACATTTTGGGTGGGAAACCCTTTTAAATTGTGGAAAGTATATAACTAGGAGTGGAACTGAGTTAAAAGGTAACTGTATTTTTAACTTTTTAAAGACATGTTAAACTGTTTTACATTCCTACAGTGTAAAAGAATTTTTATCTCTGTATATACTAGTCAAAACTTATTTTCAATTTCCTAATTATAGTCATCCTGTTGTATGTGAAAAAGGATATCTCATTGTGTCTTTTATTTTCATTTCAATAATGGTTATTGCTCTGTCTAGTGAGGCTCAGTGGACTGAGCGCCGACCTGTGAACCAAAGGGTCGTCGGTTCGATTCCTGGACAGGGCACATGCCTGGGTTGCGGGCCAGGTCCCCAGCTGGGAGTGTGTGAGAGGCCACCAATGGATGTTTCTCTCCTTCTCTTTCCCCCTCCCTAAAATAAAATAAATAAAATCTTTAAAAAAATGATTATTAATGTTGAAACGTTTTAGGTGATTGTTGTTATTTATATGTCTTTGAACACGTGTCTTTTCAAGTCCTTTCCTCATTGTAAAATTGGATTGTGTGTCTTTTTGTTCAGTTGTAAAACTACTTTTTATATTAGGCCTCCAGTTAGGAGTTAAGAGTTAAGAGGTCAGGATAGAGGTCAAGATTATGGTAACAGGTTAGGTTTAGAGGGTCAGGGTCAGGCATTAGAGTATAAGGGTGAATGTTGAGCATCTAGGGGTCCAGGGTTAAGGTTAGTAGGGTTTGAGGTTAGAGGTTAGGGTGCGAGGTTAGAGGTTAGGGTGCAGGGTAGAGGTTATGGGGTTGGGTTGGCTTAAGTTTGTCTCACTGGCTCACTTCTCTTCCCTTCCCACCTCCCCGAGGCCTCCAGGATGGACAGGACTCACCCAGGGTCACACCTGAGTCAGGGGTTGAGCTGGGCCAATGGTTTCTGCTCCCCGCCCAGCCCTGGACCTCAGTGTGTCCAGGTCATTGCAACCAAAGAAGTCTTAGCTGACACGTCAGAATCAGTGGTCCCTGAGACTTTCTCTGCATCGTCTTCCTGGGGCAGGGACAGGCTGTGGAAGATGAAGCCCCCTGTCCTTCCCTGTGTGGGTTCCGAGGGGAACCCCAGAAACTGAGAGAAGCAGCAGCGGGAGCAGGTCCCTGGATGGCTCACTGATCTGCATGTGTTTTCCTTATTTTATGGTTCATTATATTAATGTTTAACTTTACTAGGACATCACCCATTTTCTTTAGGTTTCCAGATTGAAGCAATAGGTTTATCTTATTTGACTTTTAATTCTCCCGTCTTTCTAGTTCTTTACAGAATTTTTATAATTAATAAACAGGTATTGATACATTATCATGAACTAAAACCCATACATCATTCAGTTCCCCATATTCAAGGCTCAGTGCTGGTGCTTCCATGTGTTAAAGCCCTGACTGCTCTCCAACCAGGGAGGCTGACGCTGGCCTCTGGGGTCCCGGTGATGGAAGGGGGTGCCGTGGCCTGAAATAAAACCAGGAGGAGAGAGCGGGGCCTGATCCGGAGTCTCCGCCTGTGCCGACGATGGAGACTTGATTCTCCAGGCTGGGGTGGGGGAAGCTGTTGGTAGGTCTCATACATGGGAAGTGACAGGATTAGAGCCCCACTTTTGAAAGGTCAGGCCGGTCACAGTGTGGACGTTGGATTGGATGAGACGGGGGATGGGAAGCAGAGGGGGCAGTGAGGGGACCAGTGCAAGGAGGCGCGGCCTGAGCTGAGGGTGGACGTGAGTTTGCGGAGGAGCAGGGGCGCGAGGCCCAGGGAGAGGCTGCGGTCACTGCTTCCCTGGGGATGAAGCCGGGCGGTGCCGGAGAGCGTGCCCACGGGAGTCTGGCTCTCTGGACGCCGGCAGGAGAGCTCATTCTGCCGAAAGGACACTGTTTGCCACGTTCTCCATGTGTCCGGCCCCTAGAGGGTGAAGTGAGGACACGGAAGGGAAGAGGGAGGGAAAGCGAGGTGACCACAGGCCGGGAGGGGGCTGCATGCCCACCTCACAGGATCCTCACAGCTGCTGCTCTTGGGGCGGGGGGTCACCCCGTCTGACAGAGGAGGAGGCTGAGTTTCTATGAATTTGCCTGAAGTCACACAGCGAGTCGGCGGTGGAGCCAGGGGTCAGCTCTGC